AGAGGGGTGATAGCCAACCACGGCAAGAAAAGAAAAGAAAGGAATATAGAAAAAGAGAAGAAAGAAGGATAGACAAGAATCCAGCAATGAGATCCTATCGTACTACATTATGCGATCGGAGTGCATTTTTAAAGCTGGAAAGACATTTTGATGTCTTAACATGCTGGGGAAGTTGCAGCCAAAGGCTGTAGGACAAAAACAGAGGAGAGTTGGTAAATGCGGCTGAATTAGCACAGGGAAGTGAGAGACTATTACGAGTGGACCGGGACAGAGAAAACCAATTGAATACGGAGAGATGAATGGGAATTTTACCTAGGCGAATTCTGTGGATCAAAACGCAAAGCTGCTGTTTGCGATTATCTTGCAGTGGCTGAGTATTGCTGATACAATAGAGCTCAAGACTAGGAAATAAACGCTGCTTGTTAAACAATATTTTAACCCTTTGTGGGTCTTACTCAATGTATGTGAGGGGTCGTCACGCAAACACGCGTACAAACAACGAGCCATAACTCAAGTTCCGTGAGTTGTAGGTATGGGTAAACTATATATTTTCAAAATCTGTATGCCTGGACGCGTCCAGAAAACACAAATATGACTATGTCCAGGCAAGGATATGACCCGTGGTAGCCCTTCAAGTTGAGAGAAAATACAATTGCGAACAAAAAAGCACAAAATCACAGCACGAAGTGCATACCAAGTTCGTGATGGAGCTGAAGTCCTATGATAAACAATCAGGTAAGCGCTACGTCTTGGTGAAGAATATATGCTCCTAATTCCGTCCTTGAACTCCAATACCTCGCCATCGGCGATGCACCAGCAGCAACAGTTCCACAATATCACAATTTTGGTTCGTTCACCTCAGCGCCGCTTGCGTCAGATTTACTCTCGCTCAGATGAGTACTCGGGCGCGATGTCACGCGTGCCGTGATTCTCACGGCCAGGCGAATCAGCTGATCGCACCTGACAAGTCCTTGTAAGAGTTGCTGTTGCTGTGCTTCCTCGCTGGTTGGTAAATTTGATTTCTTCATTCGGGGACGATTTATTTGAGCTAGGAGGACTCAATGGAGCTCTCTTTCTCACGACATTACACTGGAAATCCTCCAGGGACATTCAGCCTAGACTGGTGCCGTCAGTGTCCTCAGAAAGCTTTTCTGACACGGCTTCAAGAGATGCACTCCCATTCTCGAAATGCGCGCATGGCGGATGGTCGTCTTTTCCAATTTCACCAGACTTCAGTCGATCGATACTGCAAAAATTTGTGTGGTAAGTATGGTTGTTTTTTACACCGTTGGAAAGCCTGGGACCTCAGCTACGAGTGGAGCACCATTTTAGTTGTCTCCTAGCAACAAAACTCACAGAAAATGCGATTTTACTGTAAGGGTCACATACGACCCTTACGCTTATGTGAGACCCATAAAGGGTTAAGAAGAGATTTATGTTGGATTTCAAGTTTGTTCACAATATGTTGACTTAGACTACACCAAGACTGACATGCATACTGGAAAATAGGTAATAGATACGAGCGATAAAACATAGAACGGCATGTATTTGGCAAATGAGAACGATGAGGATATAGTATGCCGAGGACACTACTAGTTTTCTTGCAAATATAGTCTACATGAGGAGCCCATGTTAGACAGTCGTCAATAATTATACCAAGGTGCTTATGTTCATGGACAATTTCTATGGTCGATGAGCTGCCAGGACATGATAAAGACACATTGCAGAACTGATCACTAGCACCGCTACAGAAGAACATCACTTTGGTCTTACTAGTGTTCGGTCTCAGCTTCCAAGTCGACATCCAAGAAATGGTGGAGTTTATCTTTTTCTGGAGGTCATTGACTAGCAATTGCTCGCAACTACTTGAAGCGGAAACTGTGGTGTCATCGGCGAACAGTGAAACATTAGGGACAGACATCCGTAGATCATTGACGTAGACTAAAAAGTATAGTGGCCCCAGGATTGACCCCTGTGGCACTGCCACACCAGAATTGATTGCCTGGGGAGACGAGAGGGTGTTGCCGACGCGTACAGCCTGTAACCTGTCAGTTAGGTAGCTTTCAAAGAAACAAAGCAGGTTGCCACCAATGCCATAGGCACCCAACTTGGCAATCAGGCCTCTATGCCAAACAGTGTCAAAGGCTTTCGCCAGGTCAAAGAAGCACATGCCAGTATGTTCTTTCAAATGTCGGGACTGCATGATGTTTTGGATTAGGTGGACTAGGTGCAGAGCTGTTGAGTCCCCTCGCCGGAAACCAGACTGCATGGTATGCAAGTACGGGGACAAGTGTCGATATAGCTGATCGTACACAATGCGCTCAAACAGCTTTGAAATACAGCACAGTAGGGAAATGGGTCTGTAGTTCGTTGCATCCGACCGGCAGCCTTTGCGCTTATAAATTGGGACCACTAATGCGTATTTCCATGCGGAGGGAAAGATTCCAGACGACAGAGAGATGTTAAAGAGCAGCGATAACGGATATGCTAGGCTGTCTTGGAGGTGTTTCAGGATTTCGTTTGGTATACCATCGTAACCAGGAGACTTCTTATTGGGGAGACTGCGTATGTATCTGGTAACAGTACGGGATGAAATCGTCAGCGATGTAAACGTTGACTCTACAGGTATTTGGTGGATAGGAGGAACTAACCATTCAGGTCTATCCTTAACGCAGAAGCTGGTAAACTGCTCATTCAGAGCATCCGCGATATCAAGAGGCGCAGTGGCGGAACTTTGGTCAGACCGTGTGATTGCTGTTGGACTAGAGCCCAATGACGATGCTGATTTACGAAGAGTTCTTATAAATGAGTGAAGTGATGGACGCTGGCTGTCGGTGAGAGAAGTAGTAATGGACTGGATGTATTCTTTATGGGCTACACGTGATAACGTTTTTGCTATATTCCGCTGACGTTTGTACTGCGTTGCATTGGACGGGGTAGGGTATTTTTTATAGATGCTGTAGAGGTCATGCTTTATCTTAATGCCTGCCCTGAGCACTGGTGTCATCCATGGTGGATCCTGGCGTGAAGGGCGGCTTCGGTTTCTGGTGGTTGACTGGTGATCGCGGTGAGAAGAGCAGACTGAGAGAGACGTTTCGAGGACAGACGAGAAGTTAGAAACGGCTGTATCAATATCAAGGCCGCATAAAAGGTCACTCCAGTGAGTTGCGGCAATTTCAGCATTGACGCCTTCCCATTGCGATTGAGTGAGCAAGTGATGGCTGAAGCGAGGCGGTGCAGTGTCAGATGTGGACTCTCGAGACTGTACTATGTCTTTAGCTATGGAGAGCCTGCCGAGGACGATTAAGTGATCGGAGGCACCCAGGGGGCTCAGGGATTCAATGGATGTGAACCTCTCGGGAATGTTTATGGCGACTAGGTCCAGGCAGTCACGGGGCCCATTGGATGTAAGATGGGTGGGGAACGTAACAAGTTGAGACAGTGCTATGGAGCGAAAAAGGTTACACAAGGCAGAGCCTGCAGCAGATGTTGAGTCGGAGGCACACCAGCTCTGGCAATGGGCATTAAAATCACCAGTTACAATGGTAGATGATGGAGCAGGTAGCTTAATGAGAGCAGTCCGCAGAGTATCTACAAAATATTGTAGGTCAGCAGCGGGCTGGTTAGGGGGTCTATACAAGCAGGCAAACGACAGTGGTTGGGATGAACCTATGGGAGTAGCTTCAATAGCAATTGCTTCAAAGTTCTGTTGCCGAAATGAGTGAATCTCTCTCACTTTGGTGAAGGCGGTAGTGAGCACCAGGATGGCAACACCCCCATAGCCTCTGAAGGGGTCAGGGTTAGAGGGAGTTTGCGGTCGGTCACGGCGGAATACTGCATAGTTCGTCAAGTGTAAGGTATGGTTGGTGGTGAGCCAAGTTTCGGTGATGCAGATAATGTCAGGCTTCTTGGCATTACAAAGGATGGAGAGTTCACCGAGTTTGTTGTTTATTGAGCGTGCATTTATCACCGCAACAGACACGTGGGAAGAAGATTGAGTAGAATGGTTAGAGGAGCTGGAGTTAGGTTGGAAGGGCTGTGCAAAAACATTTAGTGTAGAGTCCAGGCTCGAGGAAACGGTTGAAGTAGTTGGAGGGTGTGGGTTGAAGGGGAGAGCGTTGGGATTTAGGATGCAAGTACTGTTCATTTACCTACACTGTCAGAGGAGAAGCGCCATTCGCGAACACGTACGGAGGCAGGCCAGAAATCATCACGTTGGACCGTGGTGAAGTGCTCTTCAGGAATCACAACATGGGCATAAGCCAGTCCAAAATAGCGTGTTTCAGCCACGGAGCATTTGATGATGTGAACATCTTTGTTTGCGCACCACTTAGCTATTGCCTCAGCATGGAAGCCGCTGTCTATGTTGCTGACGTGGAGCGCTTTGCACCTTACACGGGAACCACCGCGTAGGAGACCCTGTGTTGACTTCTTTGTCTTGTGGAAGTATGATGTGACTGAACTGTGCGTGTACGGTGTGGGTGTTTGGTCAGCTGGACGTTGGAATGATGGCGGTGGAGTGCTACGGTGTGGCAGGCTCATCAGTTGGGCGCTGTAGAGCGGACGAGTGTTTGTGAGCGTCTGTTCAAACTGTACGGGTGCGTTGGGATTCAAATGCTGCTGCTGTGAACGTGGGGCTGGTGCTACGGTGGAATTCAAATGCTGTGGATCGGATGGGGAACTACTCGTACATGTAGGTTCATGGTGATCAAAAGGCATACCGGTAGGTTGGGTGGGCGGGATAGGTGCGTGGGTTTGTGATTTTAAACTAACGTCTGCTAGCTGGCAACGGAGAGACTCAACTTCCGCTTTCAGGTCTACAATGGCGAACTTGTAGTTCCTTGGTCCTTTCTCTTTTCTATATTTTTTTGTATCTTTATTATTTTTAAGGTTAAAACTTTCTTGGAGACAGGAAGCTAACAATGGCCAATCAGGTCAAGAAACCCACAGATCCCCTGCTATTCTTCAACATCATCATCAAAAGGACTCCGCAATTCATGAACCTTTTTTCGGGTATGCTCTTCAAATGAATTACAAGCAACCAGAACCAATGAAACATAGGGATAAGTAGCATCACAAGAGTGGTAACCATCACCACTAGGTGATACATGTAGCGAAGAATTTATGCACAAGGGGAGGTAAGAAAACAGGGGAAAAGCTGGAAAAAGAAGGTGAGAAGTGAGACAAGAGGAATGAAACACACGCACTGTGTAAAGACAACTTTACTTTTTGAAGGATTTCAACCTGAGGCCAGGACCATGGGCTGATCTTCTAATGCATGGTGAACCTAAGCAGGTAAAATGCAGTCTAGCGACATAGAAGTAAATACACTCGTCACATGTATGTGTACAATCGTGTATAATGCTTTGCAGGAAATTGTATGCAGTATAAAATGAGGGCGAAGCTGTGCAAGAATTTCTAAAAGGCCATCTTTTGAAGTGAGTGTGGATAGAAAGCAGGTGCACAATATGCAGATTTTCTGTAAGGAAAATGATGATGGCAATTTCCCATGCGAGTTGAAATCGAGCCTGTTCAATTTGTCTTTATGATGAGAATTACATGTACGAGGTTATGTCAAAAAAGGGATGCAATAATGAGGTTGGATGCATTGCATTTCCATGTATGACAACAGTCAGTAGTGAATTGACAGTTTGATACCTTGATAAAACCAATAAAACCCAAGAAAGTGCTCAAAATGGAGACGACGGTAACAATGATGGCAACAACGAAGACGACGGCAACAACAAAGACGATGACGTCGCCGCTGCCAATACTGACAGCACCAAAAACGACAACAAAAACAACAACAACGACAACGACAACAACAACAGCAGCAGCAGCAGCAACAGCAGCAGCAGCAGAAGCAGCAGCAGCAGCAACAACAACAACAACAACAACAACAACAACAACAACAACAACAACAACAACAACAACAACAACAACAACAACAACAACAACAACAACAACAACAACAACAACAACAACAACAACAACAACAACAACAACAACAACAACGTCAACATAAGGGACAACAGCTGAATACCAACATGTTCTAGTATCGCGTATTGTCATAAGTCCCGGATCAGTAGGTCGTCAGAGGATGATGCAAGATTTTGGTGAGGAATGGTCACTTCCTCTGCTATGCGCATCCCTGATTTGCTCGATCATTAGTGGCTCCCTCATGTTGCGAGCCATGACGTCAAGTGTAGACTCTGTCAGCTCCACTTCTGTCTCGCTGTCCCGGGAATTCTGCCTTCTGCGCCACCATACTGCTAACGACAGGTCCTTGAGCAGACCATAACCACCGTGCCTGGAACAGCATTGTTTGGCTAAGCATGCCACGAGCAGGAGAGCATTCATGGAACCCAGTAAGGTCAATGCCGCGGTGTGCATTGCACGGTGGCGGCCTTCGTCCTCGTCGAAAGCGTGTGACTCGAGGCTTGCAATAAGCGAAAGGCCGAAGAGAAACATGCTCTCCCAAGTGTTGGCCGATACTCCGGCGAGGTTGTGGCTCCGAAAGGGCCTGGATCACCAAACATAGAACACACAAAAGGATTTCCGTTGTTTGAAAGTTGAAACATCCAATAAGAAAAACTGAACTTGCACACCATACATTCCCTTGCTTCGATGTGGAGAGCCTCTTTTCCGGCCAAATAAGCATTATAGATATAAATTGAAACTAAAATTGGTACAAATATGCAATCCCAGTAAGACAATAAATGAAAAATACTGAACGCGAAAGCAATGGTAATCTGTGATTGCAACTAAGCTGAGAGTATCAGTATGTTACTGGTACCGTTTTTAACTGCAGTCGTAGCGGTGTGTGGATAGTGCCACCCCGTTCTAAAGAACGATCCCAAAAATACGGCACGAGAAGAGCTAGGGGTGACCTGACCCTTACCGGCATTGGGTGTGAAATGCGCAATAGCACCAGAAAAATGCGGTGAGAGCCATTATTCGACTTTTCTCGCTTCCAGTCATCATCACGCTGATGATTGCTACTGCCACTCTTCTCAGTAAGTTCACAGAGGCCCACCAGCGGCGATCGTCCTTGTAGAGACTACTGGCCTCGTCAATGAATCCCTTCAGGTGGATGCTGCGTTGGCACTGCGGAATGGCGAGGATTAGTGGCGGTGGAATTATGACCAAGAGGATAATCAGCCCTGCAAGGATGGTGTGCAGCATGTGTTTGCCATTGTAACACTTGATGGCGCCATCCACTGCCAGAACTTGTCCTCTGTGGCTCAGGCGTGTGCACCACAGGGTATTCATGCTGGTGAAGACCAACACGAAATAGCTGTACACCAGCACGAACCACATGACGCGTACGAGCAGCATGTGACTTTGCAGGCGTTGAATGTACTTTCCGGTGACGTTGTATGACCTCAGTACCCTCACCATCATGAAGAGGAAGAGTAACATCATTGGTTGCAACAAAAGGAGTTGGCCGCTGTCCAGTCTGTCCAGGGGCTCTACGAAGCAAAGATTGCCCAGGCCAAATGTCAGTATTGAGTGAATCGCGGCATGAATTGGTGATTTGTCTTTGGGGAACACGTACCAGCAGGCCTGGGTACATAGGAAAGACGAAAGGAGAACGGCATGAAAACTTAAAAGGGCACGATGTTTGATTATCTTCATCAGGATAATATTAAGGCAGGAATGAGGACGAAGTACAAGTATTGATCTTGACTGAAGAGCGGACGGTATCAGTTTCCAAACGTTCTTGGAACTTCCAACAGTGTTCGGATCCACGGTTTGTTGTTCGCCGCCCTCCCTGTCTCCGCATACCTATTCAGAAACATTCGCCTAACTGTTAGGAATGGTTCACGCACATCTCACGGTTTGGAATAGTGGTTACACAGTCTACGCCCACCCACAATGCATTAGCTCACCCCGAGCTTTAATATCTTTCTAACTGAAATCTCAAACCGTTTCCTAGACGCTTTGATCGAATCTGCAATCTCATGCCATTTTTGCACTGACATCGATGAGTTTACCAACCATGCAACTCTCCCCCATAGGTATAGTCATCCGTTAGTGGACAAAACTGGATGGATAAGTGGAACGTTTGCAAGATTTCCTGGCAAACGCCCTGCATAATTCAATTAGGTTGGACAATGTGGACCACCACACATTCGTTTCCATCCGGCTTTCATGGGTGTGGTGAGTTTGAGGATATTAAACAGCCTTTGCTTGGATGAATAATACACCAGAGCTACGCTAGTGTAAGCGAATGTCCCTGGTTTCAGTATCGATAGAACAGCCAATTATTTCCTACGACTTTTCCTTTTTTAATCCCTCAAAATCTATTAACAGTTGGCAAAAGCGCACAAAAAAAACACAAGAGCACTTGGGAATGAACTGGTGCAGCATACCTGAATAAGGAACATCCAGCTATCCAGTACTGGGGAAAGACCAAAGTTGAATCGTAACATTAGGAGGAAGCTAGCTACTGTCAAAACAATCGTTGTGACCACGTACCAGTGTAAGGGCATTCGACGAGAGGAGAGCGAGCAATGTTGGCATTTCTTGAAGGAGAGTAAAATGGAAAACCAAGATACATGAATGGAAGAAAAGAATACCATACCACATCATCTAACGCACACTTGTCTCGGGAGAATGAAGCTAAAGACAGCAATGCAGCTCTGCGTATGGTGAATTCAAGTGGTGGGAAATACACACATTGAGTCTTCTTTGTGACATTTAGTCACACTCGCTGCCTTTAAAGGATCTGGTTGCGTTGTTGGACAGCTGGGCATTGGGCTCGTTCTATGTTGACCTTCTTCTTTTTATACATACATTTAGCCCTGCAGTTTTCCATGTCTCTATATCTTACATGAAGATACGTTTTCCTTTTATCGCGTGAGCAGCACGTAACTTTCACCACTTCACAATGTCTCCTGCATCTGTTTCTTCGACCTCTCCAAGGCCTTCGACACCGTGTGGCACAAGGGCCTGATCCCAAAACTTCGTGCCCATGGTGTCTCCGGCTCCCTACTCGCCTGGATAACTAGCTACCTCTTGGACCGAAATCATTGCGTCACAGTGAATGGAACCTTATCTGACCCCGAGTCTGTGACATCCGGAGTGCCCCAGGGCTCCATTTTAGGTCCCCTGCTCTTCCTCACATACGTTGATGACCTCCTCTATGCCATTCCCAATATTTCTTTGTTTGCAGATGATACCACTGTCTTTGCTTCCTCCCCATCTTACGCCACCCTGTATCCCAAAGTTCAGACCTGTATCAACGACATTGTTCACTGGATGAGTACTTGGTACCTTAAGCCAAATGGGACCAAAACCGAGCTCCTCCTTTTCCCCCTCCCACAAATCCAGTGCCCATCTTCCACTTTCCCGACGATCCCAGTCACCCTATATCTGTAGCGCCCCACCATAAACACCTTGGCATTGCCAAAGATTCCGCCCTCTCCTGGTCTCACCATGCTGATCATGTGTCGTCCAAAGTATGCCGATCTGTCGGCATAATGTCAAGTTGTTGTTGTTGTTGTTGAAATTTTATTTTGTATCGCAGACCAAACGGGCAATGGTGCCCTATATTATGATGGCGATAAAGTAATGGCCGAGAGCCAAGGATACAACAAGCAAGCCTCCACGAAAGAGAGAAAAACACAGAAAACACAGACTGCAAATACTCAAAAAGAAAAAAGAGAAAGGGAAAAAAAGAAAAAGAAAGAAGAAGAAAGCACAGTTGAATCACAGTTGAGTCACGACTCCAAGTCCAAGCCTAGATGCTGGCTAACCATAAAAATAAACCTTTAAAAGTCTCTTGAATGATCTATGGCAGGCGAGGGACTTGAACTCTTGGGGCAGGGCGTTCCATAATTTAACAGCAGAAACGAGCGGCCGACAGTCACCAGAGACTCGCCTGGTGGCAGGGACAACATACGCATTTGGATCGTTGATCCGAGTGACGCCTTCAGTCTGGCGACGTAGGCGCTTGGACAGGAGATTACTAATTCTGGCGGTGTGGATACGAAGCATGAGGAGGCGGAGTTTACAGTGGGCGTTTTGGATGATGGGGATGAGGCCTAGACGGGTGTAGATGGGATCTGTGTGGGAGGGGAATGGCTGGTTGGCAACGCAGCGGATACATCGCTTGTCGAGGACCGAAAGCTGATGCCGTTGGTGCGGAGAGAGAACCGAGAAGAAGGCATTAGATCCATACAACATGTCCGGTAGTATTAACGATCTGTAAAATAGCAGGGCTTGTTGCTCAGTTAAGCAGGAGCGAATGGCTCGCAGCGCCGTCAGTTTCTGGGAGGTCTTCCGTGTAATAGTTGCAACTTGAGTCTCCCACCGAAGCTGGGTGTCGAGATGTAGACCTAGATATCGAGCATTTGTGGTCTGAGCTAGGGGATTTCCATTGCATTCTATGTTAAGTAACAAGGGCTGCCTGCGAGACGCATGAAGGGCTAGAACGTGGGTTTTGGAGGGATTTAGTATTAAGCCTCTTTCTTCCAGAAAGTTGGCCAGGTTGGAGACTGAACGGGAGAGGGTTAAATTCAAGAATTCGACGGATTGACTGATGGCGTCTAGCAGGATATCATCAGCAAACAGCTGTGAGTGGGCTGGAGCTGTGATCTGTTCTATTTCCATTGTGTAGATGGAGAACAAAAGAGGACCCAGCACACTTCCCTGAGGAACACCACACTCACAGGGAGAGAGGGCGGACGACTGGCCATTGCTCAGGACGACTCGCTGACGGCGGTCAGTTAGGTAGCTCATGAACCAACTGAGAGCCGTTGAGGTAATACCAAGCTGAAATAGATCTGTAACCAAAATTTGGTGTTTGACCTTATCGAAGGCCTTGCTCATATCGACAAGTACAAGACCTGTATGGCGCTGCTGATCCGCTGCCTCCAAGTATCTGTCTACAGCCAATGTCAGGGCATCTTCTGTGGAGTGAAGTGGGCGATATGCGAACTGGTTTGCGGGGAACAAGGAATTTCCGGAGAGGAACTTACAGAGTCTCGTGTGGACTACCCGTTCTAGGATTTTGGAAACTATTGGTAATAACGATATCGGTCTATAATTCTTAGCGACAGCTTTGTCGCCTGACTTGAAGAGGGGACGAACATCCGCAATCTTCAGAGATGCAGGAACAACACCAGAAGCCAGAGATGCATTGATTAGTATGGTGAGGGACGGTGCAAGGACAGGAGAACAGTGTTTGAGGATTGCAGCTGGAACCTGGTCGCTGCCTGCAGCTTTGCGCACGTCGATGTTGGAGAGCAGCTTAGCGATCTCTTGCACACTTGCTGGAGCAAATTCTTCGAGGCATTCCTTCTTCGTGGGACCCAATGGGGCTGAGAGACGTAGTGGTCTAGTTGGGTCTGACACAACACCGCTGAATTGGTCACTGAGCTGTGAGACACTGACGGCTGGTGGAACTGAGGACTTGTTACGACCGCTGAGGTAGTTGATGGTCTGCCAGGTTTTTCGTGCGTTGGCCTGACTAGCAGCAAGAAGGTCCCTAAAGTAGATGGCACGGAGATGTCGTGACATACGCTTGGCTTCGTCTCGGGCAGAAGTGAAGACATTGCGTAGTGCCGGGTCTGCAGGTGATGCTTTCCACCGTCGATGGGCCGCGTCACGTCGCTGGACTAGGTCATGTAGAGCTGGCGTCTTCCAGGGGAAGGATTTCCGGGTAGGAGCTCTTGGGCGGTGTAGACGGATAGGAGCATGAGTGTTCAAGGCCGCGACAAGTTTCTCCAGCCACATATCCCACATTTCATCTTCTGTCCGCGCAAAGCAGAAGTTCTCTAGATCGCTATTTAGAAGGTGGTGTGCAAATTGACCCATATCAATTCTTGCAATGTTACGGCCACGTCGCACGGTCGGTGTGCAGGACGTTGCGAGTCGCAAATCAAGTGCCAGAGCGAAGTGGTCACTGATTGTACAAGGTACTACGACACAAGAGTTCACATGATCGTCTCCGACCAGAGCGAGATCCAGGGTTGTTTGGCTGCCTTGGGGTCCAATTCTGGTAGGACTGTCCACTTGGTTCTTGATGTCGAAGGAATTACACAGGTGCAGCAAGCTGTTTAGCTGGGGGCTGTCGCGGGAGCTTACATCGACATTGAAGTCTCCAACAAGGACCAGAGGTGATGTGGGAAGTGTGGAGATGACAGTGTCTAGTGCATTCGTCAGGTCTTGCCAGAATTGCACAGGAGTGCCTGGAGGACGGTACACACCACCAAGGAGAACCTTGGAACGCTGCCCACTGACCTCTAACATGAGCATTTCCACCTGGGTGTCAGCCTTCACAATTCGGGCTCGGAGATGATCTCTTACATATGCTGCTAAGCCTCCGCCATGAGTTGGCCTGTCGCGTCTGACCAGGGTGTAATTCTGTATGCGTAGGATATCATCGGAAACGGAGGTTGTTAAGAAAGTCTCTGCCAGCATCATTATATCAACTTTATGGGAAAGAATATAATCTTCAATGTCATGCTTTGTGTTGAGAAGATGGCAAACATTTAGGAATCCTATTTTGAGGTTACTTTTAATTAATTCATGCTGTAGGGGATTTACAGTGGGGCAACTATTTCGTGGCTGAAAGATAGGTGCATGAGGGTTCAAGGGTTGAAAGGGGGCTGCGTGAGGATTTAAACAGAACATTTAGTGCTCCTCTGCAGCTCGACCAGTTGCTACACTGTCAGCCTTGAAGCGCCATTCTCGAACTCTGACGTTTGAAGGCCAGAATTCCGGTTCCAGAACAAGTCACTTGTCCCATTTGCCCCAAAATCGCCGGATTAATTTTATAAATCATACATTCTTCCCCTCTTCACGTACGGCTTCCCTGCCTGGTCCACCACTAACAAAACCCACATAGGTAAATTAGAAATTCTCAATAGCCGTATACTGCGCATCATATTTCGTGCTGATCGATATATCTCAAATCTAGACTTGTATGCTGCTGCATCCACTACCACTCTGCAACACTACCTTCATGCTTCCAAGTGCACCCTGGCACATTCAATTTTTCTTGACCAGCACCCTGCTCATTTACAGTCCCTTAATTGGTTTAAGTCAGGTGGCACCACCCGAAGCTGCGTTCGTCTCCCCCTATCTATGTCTACCCTATTCGTAAATTCCCCTTTCTTTTCCTCCTACTCTACGTGGCTCCAACTGCCTCCCAGTGTTAGACAAGCTCCAGATATGCCCAAATTCCGTACCCTCGTCAGACAGCACTTCAGTATCTCCCAGTATACAAAATCACAGTCACCACTTCCGCTGGGGTGCTCGCTGAGCATCCCATTGCTTTGTAAGTTGCTAATCCCTTCCCACTTTGCGTACGTGCTCTTCATTTTCTGTTTTCTCTTCTTCCGTGGGTGGCCTCACCCTCTCCTCAATTCCATTGGCTGTCTTGACATGCCACGAAGTGCAGAAATAAATAAATAAAATAAAATAACATTTTGAAAGCTCGCTATTTACTCTAAGGACGCGTTTGGTCGGTACGAACTAGAACAGGATTCACCAGAACAGCGCGTTTGGTTGGGACTGCACCTGTTCTGGTTCGGCCAGAACATGTTCTGCTTGATCCGGCCTCCAGGCCGGAGCAGACCGAGCAGTTTCACTTTTTCACAGTGAAACCTAGCGGGAACATCGCTTTTGGGCCCAAATGATCACGTGCATACGCTTTTGGGTTGGACTCGTCGTACCGTACACAGTGAGCATGGTGACCCATACACATTTTGAAGAAAGCCCCAAGTTTGGCATATTTTCACAAAAATGTGCTCTGTTTCTGGGGTACCGTTTGGTTGACATGAGGCTGCTCCATGTGCACCAGCTGTTCGATCCTGTTCTAGATCGTACCAACCAAACGCACCCTAACCAAGAAATCATCTCAAACTTTGAGTAAGTCGTACCAAATCATACCTTTTATCAAGAAATCATCTCAAACCTTGAGGAAATCGTACCTTTTAATCATACCTCTAATCACGAAATCATCTCAAACCTTGAGCAAAACGTGCCAAATCCTACCATTCGACTTGTGGCAAGCAAGGGGAGCAAGATGGGAGGGAGATATCATAATAATTATTATAATATTCTATATGATTCTATACCTGAGTGACGAGTGTCTGCCAGTATCCCTGCAAGCAACGACCACACAGCGAACCGGACGAATATCCTGGACAGGATTGACCTTCGCCATACTTCCAGTCGTGATTAAAACACAGCCCATTCTTGCACTGCGCTATCTCGAACGGGTAAACCACGTACTTCGCAAACGTGTTAGAGCCATTAAATGGAAGCGACTCGTTCATCTCCCAGGTCACCATGTCTGAAAGATTTTTCTCTCCTTGCAATTCTGGGGCGTCGAGTGGGTTGCCAGCCCAATAGCCAGATCGGATGTTCAAATGGCGGCCTTTTGTGCAGTTGCGGATACCGGGAAATTGTAATTTACTGCATTCGCATGTCCAGAACGTCTTTTTGCCTAACATTGTTCCGGATTCCTGAGCGAAAGAGAAATAATTCATGTGGAAAGTAAAGAGACATATGGATACGAGTTAAGAGTGACTGTCTACCACTGTAACTAAATACTGTACACTCAAAGAGTGCAACAATTTAGGCACAACACTGACAGAGTACTGAGACATTCGACGACCTGTTACCTAGCTTCAAAATATCTCCGTATGTCCCTTTCCTTTCTACATTTTATTATTATTGGCACAACATTCGAGTTTTGCGAAAGAAAATGATCAGAATAGCATAGGTGACAATGCTAAATTGAATACTTCCGACCTAAGGATTGCGTGACACCAGAAGAGGATAAATTTGTCACAAATAAACAAAATTTCAGAATGAAATCCTTTGATGATCTATTGTACTACTCGGTATTATGGAACGAAGTCGAGTACTTGATCACACTGTAAGTTACATCGTACAAGTACATGTATATGGGTCACCTTTCCAGAACTAAGCATTCGTCTGTCGAGGTCACCTATCATTTATTGTGAGACCACGTGCCCTGACCTAATACTAATAGACCAGTATATTATGTAAGGACATACAGAACATGTCAACATGTAGTTTTGGATCTATGTTGAAAGACGACCTTTCGTTTGAGACTGGTTCTTTCGGCACCGTAAAAATAACTTTTACAAACATACACATTCTGCATGCATAGGAGCAAGTGCTTTATGAAGATCACGAGGGACAATGTATACTTGCTGATTCCTTGACCAACCTACACAAACAACTACCTTCTTGACAGGGCCATGGAAACCCTTATGGCATGGACGAATCTTGAACGGTATCTCCAGTTGGAAACTTGTCTGCGAAAACTCAACTCTGGCGCTGTTTCTGCCTTTAATGCTGAGCAACAGCCAACCTACATCACCGGGTTGCCCGCCTAAAGCAATTCCAGTGAGGCCGTCTCCTGATAGAAACTCAACGCTGTCCACAGGCTCGTAACCAAGGGATGATGCATCGCCATCGTATCGCAAGAGAGTAATCGAAGCTTGCCGCCAATATCCTTCCGCCACCTGTGTCAGGGAAAAGAAGAATAGATGCAACGGTTGAATTATTATCTTATGTGCAAGAGTGAGAGAAAATGATTGTGTTCAATGGCGTGTGCATGCGTGGGTTTACCACTTCTAAGTCCCCAGCTCTACAATGTATTTATTCACACTGTAACTGCTGCTGCTATTCAGTTTTGGAGCCATCAGTTGCCTGATGATCGTAGCACTGTGACACTCAGAGTTGCGACACAGCTTCCATTCTCTCTGTTGTGTACAAGGCTCTGCCCGATATGGGTATTGAGCACACTTCGGGCAGAGCACACTTCGGACAGTGGAGCACGCTACGTGATCACGTAATTACGTGGTACATTGAATAACAACATGAAGGGAAGTTGGATACCAGGTCGTAAGATGTTCACCGATCGAATTTAAGAACCTGCAATCGGATAATTAACTTTTATGTTTCAAAGGATGAGGACCAGCTAGCATTCTCTCAGCATTATTTTGTGCTCAACGTCGCCAGCTGGTCCCTAAACAGTGTTTAAAAATCATCATGGGTGTGCATCCATTTTCGCTGACAATACCCTGGCTAACCACATAGGGTTAACAGGTTGATCCCCAATGAAGATATCCATTTTATCTTGTTAGGCCTCCTCTAGAAGCAGGGTGTATGGACTCAAACTAGATGTTGGATTCTCACTCTGATATACTGTGAACGCATTTTCCAACACCACATTGATTCAGCTAACGAGGTTTTGCCGCTGTGTTGGAAACTGTTAGTGAGAGTTACCACCTCACTCCCGTCTCAAGGCGATTCATCTCGCACCCTGATATCTCAGACATGGTGGTGGCCTGGCACAAGCGAAAACTCTAACCAGCATATTGTGTTTCTACACAAAATTGAATAGACAGTTGTAAGGCGAACGTGCGCACTGTACTATACACTACTGTGCGAAACTGTCACCAAGACATTCGTGTACTTACTCCTAGTACTTTGAAGTAATATGTGAACACGCAGCATGTTAGGTTGGCCGAACACTCGAACATAGTGTGTTACATACAGTAAACGCCCGATTAGTGCCCCTGGCGCACTATTTTTTCAAAGTCTATCATAGATGGGGCACTATTCAAGAGAGGATATTATTCAAGAGAGGGCGCTATTTTTCAATGCTGGTACATTTACATGAAAAAATTTGATATTTTTTTACTATTGAACACTCACTGCATGATGAACTAAAATGAGGAGGAGAACTCGACACAAAGGTACATATCCAACAGGACGGAGTGGGTGGGACCTGTGAAGCTCAGCCGACCAAGGGTCTAGGCATCACAGCTGCACATGTGCACCATACATGTACGTGATCCAGCATAAGAAGAAGGCAAAGAAAAACAGAGCCTAAAGTGTACTGTAAACTATCATGACTCAACCGAAAGGGCAACAAGAACTGGGATTTTGATCCTGAAATCACCAGTGCAATGACATGTACAAGAACATTACTAAAGGAACACCAAACCTGCACATGCGCTTGGTTACAAGCCCAGGATGGAGGGGGGGGGGGCAATATTCTAGAGAGGGCTTTATGTTTTCACTGGTTCTTATAGACGGGGCGCTATTCGAGATAGGGCACTATTGAAGAGAGGGCTCTGATCGCACGAGTAGGGTAACTGGCAAGGAGAATTGAAAACGAAGAACTGCGTTTGTGGACACATTAATCATGACGGCATGCACCAACAGGACACACTTACCCTCACGGACATGCTGCAAGACAGCGGATTCATGAAACTGTCATATGTGTCCAAGTGAATTGATATCATCTCTCCAGCAGCTGGGTACAAGACCAATGAACCTAGGTAGTCTGAGTAATTAGTGTGCCATCGCCGTTTAGGCCCCACTCGCCATTCACCACTTTTCCAATCCTGCCCGGCTGCATAAACCCAAGGAAGGCTCCAACTGTCCTGCCCAATGAACGTATTCGTCAATGAGTCTCGGTGGCGCATTAGTTGATCCCGAAGAGCTATCAGAGCCTCGTCTTTGGCTTCACGACCTTGTCTGCATTGTGGAAATGTTCATGACAAAGGGATTGAGAGAGAATATTGTCGCACTTTAACATGGTGTACGGTCAATATAGAAACGTAGAGCAAGCAATCTAGTATGCCCACTTTCGCATGACACTATGGTTTTGCCTCCCATTCGTTCCTTGGCCCGATAAATCGAGTAAGAGAGGGAGAAAGAGAGAGAGACATATTGAGAAAGAGGGAGAAAAAGAGAGATATTGAGGGAGACAGACCGAGAGACAGAGCGGCTTACAGAGAGACAGACACAGATAGGCAGGGAATGGGAAAGAGAAAGAGATAGAGATTGGGTGAGAGAGAAAAACGTTTGTGTGTGTGTGTGTGCGTGAGTGCGCATGTGTGGTGTGTGGGTGTGTGGGTGTGGAGGAGGGGGGGGGTGTTGATTGTGATTAACCAAGAGGACACGTTGTGGAGGAGACCTACCTGATATGTTTCGAAGCCTCAGAAATAGCGGTTCCATTGCACTGCTTCCTAGAATAGAGCCATGTTGCTCCCCGTTGCTTGATGCATTCGGTGCTGGAGTGACGGAACAAAATCCAGGTAGGCTTGCCTTTAGCCAGAGTTTCAAATTCCCCAAACCTCTTGATTATCAGTGCAGTGAAATTGGAGCCTGTGCAGATTACACTGTGATTGGCGCTGTGAACAGGAGTGCCTGAGCACGAAGCAGCTGAATACATGCCATAGGCATTACACTCAGTTGAAGTATTATACGCTGACGTTGCTTGACGTGGACTGTCACATATGAACCTCAGTGGCTTTTCAACTTGAATGGAGCACGGTAGGACTGGATTCTTGGGTCGGTAGCTAAACTCCTCGGACTGGGGAGAGAGGAATGACAGAGTGCACAGCCATTGCTAAGTTATGTGACATGAGTAGTCCTTACTTCTATTATTCTATTTCCATCTGGACGTATACTCCTATCTATTGTATTGTTGGCCATAATGAGCCTGACATAATGCGTGGCCCGTGGTGGATATTTTTGATAGAAATAAGGCAGAATTGGCATGCTTCTGGCTTTTCGGGTTTGTTCCATGCATGTCTTGTGCGTGAATGAAGATCAGGAGCGGAAGCCGCACGGATTTGCTGAACCCGTCTGCCAGTTTCAATGCTTTTCTGGCAGAATTTGCTTTCTTCCGCACATTTTCTAGGTCTAATAAACATGACATTGCATAGACCATGGCGGAAAATGTAGCTCATTTTATCAAGTTTCTAACGCTTAGTGTCAACTGCAAGATTTTTGGAAGATTATCCCCATATTTTATCTCTGTCCGAGTATGTTACATTCTTCTTCATTTGTTTCCGATGCGGTTCTTCTTGTATGGTGCATCTCATTACTGGTGAGTTATCGAAGTGAAATTTATACATTAAATTTAAAGTGAAAGGACCGAAATTGTACATGTTATAAGAAGTTTGTGTCCAGCACTACAGTTATAAGCAATATGTTGTGTAGTCAGAAGGTGTAACAGCTAGCATAGTACTGACTGATGTGATACTGACATTCAACCACCTGATCATAAGCTATATCACGTCTTGGATGCGCAAACCAACAGCCTTCCGACTTGGAAGGTTCTAAGGCCCCGGTCACTACGAAACAAGCCACTTTGCGCTTGTTATCGCTGGCGCTCAGCTGGCTTGCGTGATCCCTGTGACACGGGCTTGAGTGCAAAGCTTTAATGGCTTGTTTTTCTTACCCGCCAAATTTTGAATATCTCGAAACACACCAATGTTTGCAAGAAACCGGAAAGCAGAACGTTCGCGATCTAAAACTGTACTTCAAGTACTTGTTCTAGTCTTCAGCTTTGATGAAGAAGCAAAGGAAACCCGGATTCTGAATTGCGAAGTCGTGCTCTTTTTATTTGTTCGGTGTGCATGGACGCGATGGTTCGGGTGGTGTTTCCTGATGTCGAGCTTTCTGCCCCGCCGATTGCCGTTCTTCAACTCAGTTGCAATCCACTCTCTTCTTCGTACCCGGCTTTCTTCGTGAATTCGGTCGTGAGTGTGGTGCCTTGTCTTGGCCTGAAACCACAGGTCCAACAAAGTACGCAGCAGTCTAGAGGCACAGCGGCAGAAATCCATGGTCGTGGGACAAAATCCAAATCAAACTGAATACAGGGTAGTTGGATAGACAGACTCACGGTCAAAACCAAAGGCACAGGGATAGCACGATTCCACGGACACAAGAAAGAACATCAATATCAGTTCATCATGTCAACTAGCTACATGGTGTGCTCCAAGCGCACTCAAATTAATTTTTGAATTTCGGCTTTCAGCCGCTTGTACAAGCTGTGGCTGAAACAAGCCGAAAAAAACCGGCTGAGAGTCAGCCACGGCTGAAAGTCGCTTGTAGGACATTTTTCAGCCATTGCCATGGTAATAGTGACGTAAACAAGCGCTTTTTTCGGCTGAACGGCTGAATCGAGCTCAGTGTGACAGCGGCCTAAGTTATGAAAACAATAACATGAGAAATGGGCAGGTGAACGCACTGAAGACGTGCTACTGGTTGCACGTTCTGACTACACAACATCTTACTTATAACTGTTAGCGTTGGACAAACTACGGATAACATGTAACATGTTGGTCCTTTGTGCACACGCCAGACAGTTTCTTGGGATCGGGAGAGCTTGATTTGACTGAATTTGACTGACACTGCACAAGAGGTAAATAATTCTTGTTCTTGCTGTGAACTGAAAGAAGACGACGACTAAAGCGCAAGGCGCTTGCGCAGAGAAAAAAGGAGGAAAAAACATGGAGGGCGTCGCTAAGAGGTGAGTGAGTCAGTAGAAATAATAAACACGCGGCCCAGCTTCGGTGTGGGAACGCGGAAACAAAACCGGGGTAGAGAACACAAACTATGACGTGTACTGCAAATAATCTCATGACGTTGAACATCATGTCAACGTCGTGACACTCCCCCGCAAGAGATGCAGAGAAAAGGAGATAATTCGTAACAAAGTAACGTGGAAACAAAACACAATAAGTGCATATAACCTACGCAAGGGTGAAAGAGAGTAGACCGTCACAGAGAGAGAGAGAGAGAGAGAGAGAGAGAGAGAGAGAGAGAGAGAGAGAGAGAGAGAGAGAGAGAGAGAGAGAGAGAAGAGAGAGAAAGAGAGAGTTCAGATGTGAACTACCAACTGTCTAGCTGATTCAACTAAACGAGTTCGCTGCCAATTAATTGGCGAAGCGTCTGACGTTGCTTCTTAGCGGCAGCACGTTGTGGACGACTGGGTGGAGCAACAGCTGCTGGAACTGGCAGATCGGCTTGGCCAGTGGTGTGTGTGTCCGGAGCGGTGCTGTTGTTATTAGCCTCGGAGTTAGCAGCAGGACAGATAGGGTACAGGAGAGACAGGGGTCGTTTGACCTCTGTCTTCTCTGCAGTGATGACGGTTGCGGAACGTATCTCCATGTCCTTGCTTGTATGGAGAGCGACAATGCGACCAAGTCGCCATGAGCCACGGGGCATGTCATCCCTTATTAGTACAACATCGTCAACGGCTGGCTGTTCTGAAGCGGTAACGCGTGCCTGTCGGAGCTTCCGAGTGTGACTGTTGCGGAGATCAGCCAAGTAGTCGTCTCACCAGACACGCCAGAACTGGTCCAATGTTCGTTGACCCTTCTTCCAGACAGAGAGAAGATTCTGAGCTGCAGTCGGAACTTCGATGTGGTCCGGATCGCCGTCATCAGCAGTGGGTTGCACGCCACCAGTAGTTGCGGACAGGCACAGAAAATGACTTGGGGTGAGTATCTCCTGCAAGTCATTGTCCACGTACACCAGTGGACGCGAGTTGACGACTGCTGACACTTCCATGAGAATGGTAGTCAGTTGCGACACAGTGAGGAGCGCGCGGCCAACGACCTTCTTCAGGCTTCGTTTGACTGTTCTAACGAGACGCTCGTAGAAACCACCCATCCAAGGTGAGATCGGTGGGTTATAGTGCCACTTCACACCAGCCCTCGACAGGTACGACAGGACATCATCACTCGTTGCCATTTCTTCAAAGGCCACATCCAGAACAGACTTAGCTAGGATGAATTGTGGCGCGTTTTCAGACACTACCTCTTCAGGGCAACCACGCAACGACACGAACCTGCGGAACGCTAGCAGGAATTCCTCTGTGGTCACGTCTGCCACCAGTTCTAGATGGACAGCTCTAGTTGCCATACATGTCACTAGGAGGACCCATACCTTCTTGGTACTTGGCTGGTGCCTGACGAGCAGAGGACCGAAGTAATCTAGTCCCACATGGGTGAACGGGATAGATCTTGTTGCGCGGGCAGATGGAAGCGGGGCCATATCTGGGGTGCGGTATGGACCACCGTGGTGCTTCCGGCAAGTCAGGCACTTAGTGATGAATGACTTCACTGTTGCACGCCCTCGTGGTAACCAGTACTCGTAACGCAGTCTTGATAGCGTGTGTGCAACGCCGCCATGCATCGTCATCAGGTGACAATCGTTGATGATGAACTGGGTGATGGGATGCGTTTGGGGAATCAGTACTGGATACTTTGCTTGATAGCAAAGTTCGGCGTTCTCCAAGCGTCCTCTGCATCTGATGAGGCGGTTCTCATCGAGGAAGAGCCGCAGCTTGTCCTTCGGGCTGTGCTTCTTACAATTTTCGACAGCACTGACGTCTGACAGATTCTGTTGTGCATGGTGTAGCCACATGATTTTGGCTACCTTGACCTCTGAGTTACAACTAGAATCCACCCCGAAGGACTTGCCGCCTTGTGGTCTCAACCTGGAGAGAAACCGCAAACACAGAGCAGAAACACGCACTAAGGCACTGAAAGACGAAAACCTGGCACAATCAATACCAAATGGTGGTTCATCACATGTTTTTTTTTGCTCGTGATGCGCATCAGGCTTTTTTTTCATTTCGTGTGCAAGCTCAGTGTCTGGACCGGTGGACTCTGTTGGTTGTGATACAGGTGCAGGTATCTCCGAAGTGCTTGAAGGACCCTCCCCAGCGGCAACGTTGACATGGTGATCAAGTGCTGGCTCGGCGTGATGGTCAGCAGTGGCAAGGAAGTGTGGACCGTGCCACCATAGCGAGCTGGCTTGAAGGGAAGGAACAGAGACACCGCGTGAAGGCAAGTCGGCGGGATTGTCGGCAGAGCGGACATAGCGATAGGCAACATCGGGAACCGCACGAATGGCATCAATACGGTTGTTGACGAAGACAGGTAGTTTGTCAGAAGAGGCCAGCCAATGAAGAACTGTGGTGGAGTCTGACCATAGAAAGGTAGAGGAGAAAGTGAGCGGAAGTTCCCGACGGACGAATTGGATCAGACGAACACCGAGAAGCGCGGCCATTAATTCCAGACGTGAAATGGTAGGTGAAGCAACAGGTGCAACACGGGACTTGCTGATTAGAAGGTTCGACGTGTGTTGATCGTCAAACGTAGTAGTAAGGTAAGCAACGGCACCGTAAGCCAGCCCAGATGCGTCGCTGAAGACGTGGAGAGAAAACTGAGCGTCGCTGGCACGTGGTGCACTGATGAATCGTGGACATTTCGTTGATGCAGCAAGTTCAAGTTGAGCCGCAATATCACACCATCTACAGATGATGTCTTGTGGAAGGTCGTCGTCCCAGCCGACGTTCAGCTTCCAAAGATCCTGAAGCAGAATCTTCGCACCAACAAGAACAGGAGACTGGAGACCAAGGGGGTCAAAGAATTGGGCAGTATGTCGAAGGATACTCCGCTTCGTTGTGACCGACTTGGATACGGCACTGACAGGTGCAATATGTAGAGTATGATGTTCTGTATCCCACAGCATACCGAGGCACTTGTGGATAGTACCCTTGGCTCGGTCTGGTTCTGGAATGCTGCTAAGAAACTCTGCAGAATTACTAGACCACTCGCGAACATTCATAGACGCGACACTGAAGAGGCGCTTCGTGGCATCATAGATAGCAATCGCCTCCGTCCCAGAGTTTGCACCAAGGAACAGGTTGTCAACGTAAATATTGCGAGACACTAGGTCGGAATCGGTTGTATCAGCAGCGCTAAGATGATGCTGAATAGTGGCAGCCAAGAGATATGGACTGCTGACAACGCCAAACGGAACACGACAGAAACGAAGTTGCCGTATGTTGTCTGGAGTAGCTGAGCTGGATGCATCGTGCAGCCATAGGAAGCGGGTCACGTCACGATCATGTGAGTGCAGACCAATCTGCAGAAAGGCCTTTTCTACGTCTCCACTTATGGCTACCGGAGAAAGACGAAAACGAAGAAGAATACCGCAAAGGTCTGGAACAAGATTGGGACCAGCGTGCAAGCAGTCGTTGAGACTGGCGAGTTTTTCGGAACATTTTGCGGACGCATCATACACCACCCTCAGCTTCGTGGTAGTAGCAGTAGGTTTGAGTACTGAATGGTGTGGAAGGTAGTGAATCTGGTTGGTTGTAAAACCACGAGGAACATCTTCTATCATGCCCCTGTCAAGCTGGTCTTGAATCACGGTATCGTACCGGTCAAGAAGTTCCGGATGGGCTTCGAGGCGACGCACTTGTGCCTTCAGGCGACCGAAAGCCAGACCGTAGTTTGTCGGAAGAGGAGGATGTGAGTCCCTCCAGGGCCAACTCACCGCGTACCGACCCTCGGCATAGGAGATGGAGTTGGCGAAGCGCTCACCCACAAGATCTTGCGACGACGTATCGTCAAAAGTACCAAGCTCTCTGTCGACCAGAACTTACGGAGGTCGAATTCAGGGTCCGTGTCTGTTTGATGAGCAAGACATGACTGCGCCTCTGTGGTGGCAGGCACAGGCAGACTGCCGGTACAGATAAAACCAAGAACGGAGTCGAGCAGGACCAGACCACCGCTTAGTTCGGTGCGGTCCTTGCCGATAATATCATAGTAGTGATCGAGACCAATCAAGACGTCCACGACCATGGGCTCTGCGCTGCTCGTGAGCGGTTCTGCAAGTGGCAGAGACTGTAGAAGAGGAAAAGAAGAAGCAAGTGGACATCGCGCAATTGGAGCGGTTATGTTCGGAAGTACACTGGCCTGAATCGCACGAGTGGACCCATCCTTACACTGCATGGTCAAACTCACCTTGGCGTACACGGTACTTTTTCTTTTGTTGTTCCCAAATGTAGCCAAGGAGAGTGTTTCATTTCCGATTGTGGGCAAATCGAGCTGATCTCGATAAGCTTGCGTGATGTATGTCTTGGTGGAGCCGGTATCAAAGAGAATACGGCCATTGATCGGCTTCAACTTGGAGGAGAGAAACGGTGCCACAGCAGTTTGCATCATGATCTGGTGATCGGCGTTTGCGACCGTGCTCGTGGCAGGCTTGGGTTTGAAGGACTGAGCATTCGGGCTCATAGTGGAAGCTTGCCTCTGAGTGGATGCAGCAGTGAATTTATCTGGACACAAGCTGCTGTGGTGTGCAGGATTGTGGCAATAGAAACACCGCCGTTTGCTAGAGCAATCGTGCACGGAGTGGCCTGATCGCAAACACTTGAAACACCATTGTTTAGCTACGCTCTTCCTCGCTTCTACTGTAGTGTACTTATTGCATTCGTCAGAGAAATGTGCCTCCGAACTGCAAAAAACACACACTCTCTTGGGCTTCGCTTTTGAAGTAGCTGAAGCTGAGGCAACAAGAGATTGACCGGACGCACTGGCAGATGGTGATTCGTGCGATTTTTTCGGTGGCTGGCTGAGGCGATCTGCTGCTTCATTCGCTATTATGAAGTTGGCTACTGCAGCGCGCAAATCCGAAACGGTCCAGGATTGTGGCCCCTTTTTTAATTCCAAAGCCGCTAGCGTGGTGCGTGGCAATTTGTTCGTAATCATTGCCACAAACACCGCCTGATTAACATTCTCACCAAGCGCTGTGAGGCTTCGCAAGGGCACCTCCAACGCATCGTGCAACCACTCAGCCCACTTCAGAAAATCACCAGAAAATGTTGGTGTTTCAAATTTGGGCAATTTGACTGAACTTGTGGGAGCTGGTTGTGGTTGAGGTGATGATGCTTGCATTTGTTGTACGACTAGTTGGTGTTGTTTGATTAGATCCTCTTGCGACTGTAATACTTGCTGGTGTTGACTATGTGTAATAGACTGCGTACGAACAAGATCTCCTATTGACTTTTGGATGCTGGACAAATCAACCATACTAGTTTCTTGTTTGATACCCGCACTGCCCGTACTCTTGGTGCTACTTGGCGAGCTAGTACTAGTAGTAGCAGCTTCTGGACGGTTCGTCTGGGCTCTGTACTGCGGAGATCGCTTGCATTCAACAATTGACCCTCTGATGCGTACCGAATACGCAACCACATCGCAGATCTCCGTTTGCAGAGCCTCATCTGAACCCTCCAGAGTCTCCGAGTCCAAAACACTGGCCAATGCATCACACGCCTCATCATATGCGTACAATTCTTCAACAATACAATCCACAAGTGTACTTAGCTTTTTTGGATCCGAGTCCACGTGTTCTGGCGACAACTCGTCGGCCCCTTGACCTCCTTCCTTCGATAAAAGGAGTTCGGCCTCTTTGACGAGTTCGTCGATGGATCCTTGCAGCTGCGCGATCTTGGCCCGGCGCATGATCTGCGTGCCGGTCGTCACTGCTTTCTTCGGCATGTTAGCTCGACGACCCAAATCGGGCAAGCTGCTTACAAATTATTTGAGTCGAGTCTATCTTTCTCAAGATTGGAATGGTACGCACGGCTCGTTTCGAGCTCCGGTGCGGTTCATGTCCCGGGTTTCGGCACCACTTTGTGCACACGCCAGACAGTTTCTTGGGATCGGGAGAGCTTGATTTGACTGAATTTGACTGACACTGCACAAGAGGTAAATAATTCTTGTTCTTGCTGTGAACTGAAAGAAGACGACGACTAAAGCGCAAGGCGCTTGCGCAGAGAAAAAAGGAGGAAAAAACATGGAGGACGGCGCTAAGAGGTGAGTGAGTCAGTAGAAATAATAAACACGCGGCCCAGCTTCGGTGTGGGAACGCGGAAACAAAACCGGGGTAGAGAACACAAACTATGACGTGTACTGCAAATAATCTCATGACGTTGAACATCATGTCAACGTCGTGACATCCTTTGTTTCAAATTTAGTCTTTAGCCCTCCATCCGAGTCATACTAAACCATTCTTAAATCATAACGTTAACATAATGATGGTCGTGTTCATGAATTCCAGCAGACGCTATGTTTTCATTGTGGAAGCTTCAGCGAAAAGACTAACAAAAGCAGAGATCTCGTGTGGAGAGCCAAAGACTAAATTTAAAAAAGAGACGACCCTTAGTTAACACGTTATCCGTTTTGTCCAACACTAACGACTATAAGCAGGATACTGTTGAGTCGAAATGTGCAACAATTAGCACAAAACTGGCTGATGAGATCCTGACATTCAACGACCTGATGCTTAGCTGCATCACGTCTGGAATGCGCAAACCAACAGCCTTCCAACTTGGAAGGTTCTAAGTTATGAAGTAACGTAAGAAAGGGGATAACTTGTAAACTTATGCTCCTCTCTTTTTTAAGAGTAGGGAACATCATTGTAAAAATGATAACGGTTGTTTACTTACTTCAGTGGATAGTGCCTTTGAGGAACACAATCCATAATCTTGGTAAACATCCGCAACAGTGGCACCGACATTCACGTCAATTACCACATGCTCTGCCCAATCAATGGACCATTGTTCAGTGGCATTTTCCCAGATGAAGCTTTTTGCCACGACCATGTGCCGTAAGTTGGTGATCTACAGTGTTCACAGATTCAAATACGTACAAGGAAAGACGCCAATAGACAGGAAGGCGGAAACGCGAAATGCAAAGCCTATCCATGTACATGTATGTGCATTTGGTTCGCATACACATGACATGTTTATTATTATGACTGTGTGTTAGTGTGTGTATGCATAATTATGTGTTTGGGTATTTGTCTATGAGTATGTGTGTGCATGTGTATGTGTGAGAATAGTACTGGACACGTGTGTCATGTATTTGTGAATGTGGAGTAGAACCAGCTGACCAGTGCTGGACAAAGTGATGCTTGTACATTGAGCTTCGTGCCACGCATAGTAGAGTGCTGAGTTATTAATTTTTGTATTATTCGAATTTGTGGAAATGAATACAAAGCCGTTACTCACTACAAAAATATTCGACGGGTTCACGTACCGAGCAGGTCAAGAACAAGGAGTCGTACAATTCCTGGACAAGAACCACCTTTTCGCTTCCATGGGACTCCACCACCCCATGATCAGGTGTCAGATGCGTCTTCTAAACGGTGGAGGAGGATAGATCAGATCCACCAACCAGAGGCCAAGGGCCTAAATCCCATTTGCCACATCCATGTATTACTCATGCCAGGCCACGATTTCTCAATTAACTGTGGGTCGCAGCACGGTTGGAAAAATCCTTCCGCTTCCGAGCAGGACTTGAACCTGGTACCTCTCGTTTCTCAATCATGGTCTTAGACCAACCCACTGTGCCTGCCTGCTAATCACTGCAAAAAATTGACGGGTTCGCGTACCGGGCAGATCAAGAACAAGGAGTCGTACAACTCCCTGGTCAAGAACCACCTTTCCACTTCCGTGGGACGCCACCACCCCATGATCAGGCGTCAGATGCGGCTCCTTAACGGCGGGGGAGGATAGATCAGATCCACCAACCAGAGGCCAAAGCCCTAAATCAAATTTGCCACATCCATGTTTTACTCATGCCATGCCACGAGTTCCCAATTAACTGTGGGTCGCAGCACCGGTTGGAAAAAAATATTTCCACTTCCAAGCAGGGACTTGAACCTGGTACCTCTCGTTTCTCAATCATGGTCTTAGACCAATCCACTGTGCCTGCCTGCCCGATTCACTACAAGCGTACCTCAATTTGTGCAAATCAAGGATTTGCCACCAGAGCCAAGCACTGCAATCAAACCTGACTGGCTGACAGTCTGGATTTGTGGGTGGCGTTTTGTTTAATGGTTGATGGGCATCTACCGTGCAAGTTTACAGAATTTCCTTAGCTTTTCCATGCTTGCAACAGCCATGCTCTACCGAGGCTTATGCGCCTACAGTCTTTTGCAAACTGCAGGTATGTATACTTCAAAGAGAAACTACTTCCTCCGTATACAAAAACTTCGTGACTTTTTTCAACAGTGTTTTTGAGCAAGAACCGGCTCAACGAACCGCGCCAAAGGCTGTCATCGACAACCCACATTCATTGTTGAGATAGGTTTGGTTGATCCCGAACAGATTCTCCACGGAAGCCATGTGTGGGAGGACGTTGCCGACAGGAACTCACGAGTCAAATGAAGAAAAAAAACACTTACTTGCTCGAAACTGACACCGTGACGAAGTGGAGCTCGCGGCGGGAACACGGAGTCACGCAACACTCGCTGCCATGAAACTGGCCAGGCTCGCACTTGCGGTGCGCGGCCCCATATGCAACGTGAGAACATAAATCGGTTCCGCTCGAATGGCAAGATGAAACATTTCAGTCGTCGTGCAACCAGCGCTGACTCCGGATCGGAATGTCGACGACCTGGCTTTCTTCGCCTCTCTCCAGTCAGACGTCTCCGTCGTCTAGGGGAATCGCAGGGACCTCCTTCAAGCCGTTGTAGAATGCTGGGAGGATTATCCTGCCCAGAAAATGCGAAGCGTGTGGGTGTGCTTGAGCGACTCGTTTCACGGCATAATGGAGGTCGCGGATTGGAACGACTAAATATAGTTGACACCGATTCGTTCACAACTCTGGAGATGAAGAGGGCGTAGCCAAAGTCCCGCGTCGGATCATCACTGCAGCTGAGAAATCTGAACGAAATGCGAGCGGAAGCAGCGACTGTCGGCGATGCGGCGCCAGCGTCGTCAGGTGACAATGACAGGAGCGACAAAGACTCTGAATAAGCTCATTCTTATTCGTCTGAGTTGCTTTTTTCTTTGTATATAGCTTGTAAACAGGTTAGACAATGACACGGATGTTATTCCAAGTCAAACGGAACAATTCCAAAGCTGTGCACAGCCTTCAATAAAAGGCACGAAGTTTTTGTATACGAAGGAATTTTATGAACCCTGGAACCAACAAAGTTTGGCAGGTACAACATTTCACCTTCAAGTAGCCGAGCCCGTTGGCAACAGACCCAACACAATCAGGCATAAGTGTACCCACCAACTGAACTAGCTGGCACCATACATACATACTGTCCCTTATTAGGAGTAGGCACCGGCGGATTATGCCGGCATAATTATTGCCATAATTTGGTGGTTGAAAACTTGGAGCATAATTTGGCATCCTCTCGGAGGTAGGAGCATAACTACACGATTATACCACAGTTGTAGTATGTAGGCTATACAATTGTGTACAATGAACCTGATCTGTGCTGGTGGTCTGCATGGTAAAGGGTTCGGAGGTCATGCAGATAGTGTTTTCAATGAAAAGCAGGGTGGAAATCATGGCAATACAGTCACGGTATTGTATGCTCGAACTCGTCTTCTTCAAAGTTCTTTCTCACAATGACACAGTACATGTAGCAGAAGATGCGAGTGAATCAGGCTTCAGCAGGTATCCCGTAGCGGACGAGATAGTGACGGGTAGTCCGCAAAACTCCGTGTCCATGTACATGTACATTACATTTGTACATTGTGCATGTTACGAAGTCATGACCAGTCTGGATTTTAGCAGCCATGATATGACTGCAGGCTATGGATATTGCTCGAAATTGATGTATAGTTGATGTTCGGCCATGATTGAAGGAGAAGTGTAGCTACGGGAGAGATGAGCTGATTATTTGCAGGGTGAGGGTGACATCGGTTGGACGAGTATGATGATTATGAAGACCGTGAGTTGAACATGATAATCTTCAAAGGTAACTCAAACTAATTTGGCAATGAAATAATATTTTTACTGAAGTACAAAAAAAAATAAAGTGATGAATAGAAGAAGCAATTTTCTCTTTTCCATGTTGATCTCTAACATGCATGGACACCTTGCAGCTTGGTAAGGGGATACTCATGTATTTTGTTGCACTTATGGCCACTTGCAACCTGCAAGTACGAAAAAGGCACAATTTTCCGAACTTTGAGGCTCCATAAGTACAAAAAAGTGAATATAATTATATATCCCCGGGTGCCAAAGCATAATATGAGGATTTTACGAGCATAATGCGAGAATCCATGAAAGCATAATTCCATGATTTCGCGAGCATAATCCGCCGGAGCCTAATTGGGAGATTCTCTCTGTAAATAAAGCTGTCAGGCTGCACATCAAATTAATTAACGGCGGAAGACCTGTGTACGAACACCTTACCTGCGATATGTGAACTTCAGCTTGCTGGAGTATCCAGGGGTAGATTCCCGGGCATACAGCCCTGTGCAAACCTTCTATGAAGATTTTGCTTTGAACAGCTTGGAAGTCTCCACCCACGCACTTTATCCTGGGGAAATTTGGAACAGAGGTACAACAATGCGATAATACTCAGAAAAGGACACAATTCAGGCTCCTTTATAACATCTTGAAAGCTTTTGGTTTCACTTGTATACCTTCAAGCCTTATCCCCAGGTGAAATACAGGCAAAATTAAATGAAAAACGACAATGGATTTAGTACAGCCGAGAGGTGATAGAAATAGTGTAAGGAAGAAGAGATAAATACCAGCGTCAAATGTGTGACCCATACACATACACATACACATACACATACACATACACATACACATACACATACACATAGAAGGGAATGGGGAAAAGGTGCAAGTGTGAGGAAAACTACCGAGCGTGAAGGGTAGTGCGACAAAAAATAATAGAAAACAAATGGTTATAACTAGCGAGTTGCACCTTGTCCCCATTTCGTTTTATATGTGTGTGTGTGTGTGTGTCTGTGTGTGTGTGTGTGTGTGTGTGTGTGTGTGTGTGTGTGTGTGTGTGTGTGTGTGTGTGTGTGTGTGACACTCATTCTGCGTTGTTTTGCCTAGAGTTTCTTTGGATTAGACCTTTTTCAAATTTTCATTTTGATTCCATCGTCGAGTTTCATCCCTTGTATCTTAGGTTTTCTTCCTTTTTTCCATGTTCCATTGTTTGAATAAACCGGTTTTGAACCATAAAGCAGGACACATAGATACAGGAACGTTGAAACATAATTACACAATATCATGTACACGTGCAAAGCACCACTCTATAGTAGTAGTCCATTTTTTTTCTCACTCCCTTCATGATGATCCCCAGTGATTTTCCTTCCAGTTCAACCCTCTATGAATTTGTAGATTGTACTGTTGAAGCAACGAACTGAAATGCATAAAAAACAACACAACACCAAAAAAGTTTGTGAATGAAAAATACTCCTGCGGAATATTTTAGAACTAAACAATTACAATACGAACTGTGACTTCGATAGCACTTGAGGAAGAAGATGGCTGTTCCAATGAGTGGTTCTCCCTTGCAGGTTTTCAGAGTGGACTGTCGGGCATTCTCCCTGTGTTCTCCAGATGGCAGTCGAGTCAGTCAAGCATGATTGTATCTGTGGACGGGACGCATGAGTTCTAACGTTCTGAGCAGCCAGCATTTTCAAAACTCTAATATGTTACGTAAAACGTCGGCGTAAAGACAAGAAACCTGATATCGATGAAAGTAAAATGAGTGCACTCAAACTACGAAAACAATGGAACACTATTTTATGATTTTATCGTCTTTTTCATATGATAATCATCAGAAATCGTCATCACACTGAGAGTTGGACAACGGAGGGAAAAATATTTATGGTACCATAAAATGAACATTTTTAGATCTAAAACTAAAACACATTGGGCACGGATGGGTTGATACTCACCGAAAAAACGTGTTGTTGGACATGCGAGATTCCGTTTGCTCCAAGTTCATGAAGATCTCCTCGGACTCAGGACCATGAACGAATTCGACGGATCTGATGGAGCTCTGGATGGGCGTAGAAGGTACACGACCTCGGATATCCAAATCAACCGCAGATTTGCATCCATGATGCAGTCCTTCATTGAGAGTAAATTGCGATCGTACAACTGCGGCGTGGACCTTGAGCTCCTCATTCCAATCTGTGATTCTCAATGCTGGCGCATTGCACCGTGCAGCTTTGTTCTCCGTGAAGATAGCTCCATCGATGCAGACTTTGCTGCAGTCAGAGATGAGGAGTGCAGCATTCGAGTAGTGGTTGTCCTTGAACAGTGTGTCGTGTACCACAACGGTGGTGTTTGGATCCAAGCACTCTATGGAAATCACCGCTTCTGAGACATTAAAACCTATGAACGATGTGTTATGTATAATAACAATGACCTCTACGTGCTGGTAGTTCAGATTAATGCCCGAAACACCCCGCAGCAGTTCGTTCTGACCTTGGAAGATTGAGTTGAGAATATGGATCTGGATCGAGTGGGTCTCCAAGCCTGGAGCCCCGTCAAAAGTTACGAGATCGGGAATAGTTCCCTGCACATGAAAATGGCATTGAGCCACAGTAAGAGTGATTTCTGAACCGTCTCCTCCCACCAGAACTGAACCAACTACGTGCAACAATGACGTGCCTTCGCCAGTGAATTCACAGTTCTGAAACATGACATCGACGGATGGATTTCTCAAGAGGACTTCGATTAGCAACCTTTTTCCTAGACACCTTTTGGACTGGAATATGATATCTACACAGCGTAATGAAAACAGACCAGAATCAGGCATCTCGAAGGAGAGCAGAGTACGCCTTCCATGTAGATCTATCACAGATTTCTGGCATCCAAACGAAGTGTCCGTTATAAGTGTTAGATTCGGCACAGAGCTGATTTGGAAGATTGGAGTTGCGGCGTCCTCATATGGATCAATCCTACACCCAGATGACGGGTGAGCTATCAGCTTCAAGGCAACGGTTTCCGATCTCGTATTTCGTGCTTCCTTTATGGCCTGTTCGATTGTGGAACATGCGCGCTCAATGCTTCGCCCACATCCAGGATACTTACTGCCAAATTCCCCGGCCTCACCGTCGAACGTGTAGCGGCTCCCATTGCTTCGGTAGGTGGCAAGGAATATCATCGTATCGTGGACGACAGTGCGCGGCGATTGCTCAGTGAACTGCTCGGCTAGCTTACCAGACTCACAGTCCCGGTGAAACGCGTACTGGTCACTGGTACTCACCGGAGCGCGGATACACTTGCCCGTGCTGGCAAGCATGAAAGCCAGAAAGGCAAGCCACACTCTCGGCCTGTCCATCTCACCTTGAAATGGGCGGCAGGCTAAACTCTCATCCACGAGGGAATTAATACATTTGCGCGAACATTATAGTTTCTCACATTACAAGTAATAGTTAGTTTATTGGAGAAGATATGAATGAATCATGGTGTTACTCGCTGCTACTTCAGAGCACACATACAGACCGGCGACAGTTTACCACCTACCCACTCCACTATGCGATCACACATGGGAGCAAGAAATATTACATAAATACATGTACGATGTAGATGCAATCTTGTACCTTCGGAATGATACCAGCTAGGGACCTGGGTTGTTAATTAAGCATACTCCCGTGGAACAAAGAACATGTATGCTATAGTGTCGAAGCAAGTCGGGTGGGAAAAACAAACAGGTGGCTGCCAGAAAGATGTGATAATGATTTCACCCACGAGTACACATTACATGCGCAGCTTGCTTACACGCGCATCAAATGAGTCTACGTGTATATTCTCTTCGCACCACTTCCAAGTGATATCCTTTCAAACATTGCTCTTGCTGTGCAGATGCTACCTGTCAGCCCCATAGAGTAGGTGCACCTCGCACCAGCCCCATCACAAGTTTACGCGGGGACGTCCGCCTAACACTTTAAAAATGTATCTGTATTTTAGGCCCAGCTGCCTTCGAGACCTCTTCAGATAAGCCCTCGACAGAAACCAATGGAGTAAAATGTGCGCAGCCATTTTGTCTAGTAGAGCAACATGACTGTATTCATCAATCAGTCAATGTCTGTAACGACCAAAAAACATCGGACATGGCCAATATTTCGATTTCGCTCAAAGCTGCCTCGTTTTATCCCTGGGTGGACCATATTCATCCACCAGGACAGTTTTTTATTTTTATTTTTTTTATTTTTTTATTTTATTTTATTTTTTATGAAAGTGCACATGCCTACATATAGAATGGAAGAGAAAAACAACAACAACATCAAGAGAACATAGGGGACTACAATGGGCGTGTAGGTGCTATTGAGCTGTGCCGGTGAGGTGAAGTGCGCTCCCCCGACCAATGGTCTCGGGATCAAGGCGCACATCACGCACCATGGGGGAAAGGGAGAGAAGAAAGACTGTGTGTGAAGAGTGAGAACCTGAGAGCCAGACAATGATGGAGAGAGAGAGAGAGAGAGAGAGAGAGAGAGATTTGGTTCCTTCGATATTGGGCAAAGTCAAAAATCGATTAAAAAACTCACTGAATCAAGGTACAAGAGCAAGGGGTCAATGCTGCTCACAACTACGCCGCGCAGCCAAACCAACTACGTTGCATGTTCGCACACCGCTCCAAGTTACCAAGTAATGTTAGGCAATCCAACTCGCGACGGGCGACTTGCTGAGTCCCTCGAACGAATGGATCAATTCAGTGCGTCCAATGGCGGCCATAATATAGGCCATCCGCAAGGGCCTGTAGTGGCGAGGTTACGTCTTGACGTTTGGAGTAGACCACCACCAATACAGGGTTTTATCCCCTCTCGACTTGTTTCTCGTTGTTTTGCGATGATTCTTGTTCTACAACCACATTCGTCTTGGCATGGAAATCTCGTCATCGAAAATGAGACTGAAGTGTCTCTTCAATTTGAAGAAATTGCATTCCTTTATTGTGTACTTGTGCGTGTGTGCCCTGGGTCCAGAATTCCATGTACTTATTCCTTTGAGAGCCCCATACTTGAATGCGCTGTGAACGACGCAAATGCAAAAGTTTACCTAGTATACATGTATGTAATGCCGCTTGGCCAACTTTAAAGGAGAAACTGCAACGTGTGAGCAGGTACATGCTCTGTGCAGAAACTCACGGAACAACTGTTAGTATAGCAAACTATTGCGTGGGTGCATAAGACTATTCGTATTACTCAATCTACCGATAGAACTGTTTCGTTCTTTCTGGACTAATCAGCGCAGCACAGAGAAAATGAGGCCGAAACTTGTAGCAATCAAAAATACAAGTAAATGTTCCAAAAGCCAGATTTAAACCAGGCCCGAACGTACCTTGCCAGAGTGCTCAAACAGGAAAATCAGTGAGCTCTGCATAACGCAAACAGCAACGCCACTACCCCCACACGAGAGTGCTCAACTGCTACTATTCTGATCAGATTTTTTGATATCAGCCACGTAGTGTCAACAAGCAAGAGATCAACGTTGCTGGGCAGATCCCTATCTCAGCCAATCAAACTGGCAATGAAAAGGAGAAACAATTTTGAAACGAGTGAATGCATGCTCCAAGATAAACGACACACTTGACATACATATGCCACGTAATATCAAAGAAGAAGAGATACGGGGAGAAGAGGATGCACTCTGAGGTATTGGGTGCTCTCCATGCTATTCAAGTACGAGTAGAAGGCAAAATGCTTTGTTTTGATTTGGTGTATTGCTTCTAGGAACATTATGGGTGCGCATCAAAACCATCAAATGTCAAAGGAAGACTTCATACGCCTTTTAAAGGTGTACAGAAGCTCGGCTCTTTGAGTACAGAGTGGAGAGAGCAATGATTCTATTCTGCTGGGATCATATCAATGGACTAGCAATAAGTAAGAATATGCGCGATGAACAGAGGTGGGTGTAAAAAATCCTAATACGCAGTGAAAGAATACATGGGTGCTCGGCGTTAATGTGAGTGTCTACAAATGTAAGAATGAGATAATAATTTTAAATTATGCAGTTCGAAACTCCGCACAAATCTCAGAGACAAAATTTGTATTTGTATTTTGCATTTATGGATTCTCCACAGGCCTAAGCCTAAATCGAGGGAGTCTCCGTCAACAGCTTATGAAAAAGAAGAAGCTGAGGGGAGAAATAAAAAAAAGATAGAATGATGCGGGGTGGTAATGATTTAGCACATTGCTCTATGAAAATTAATGAGATATTCGACTACTTCACACCTAGCTCTAACACATCTCTACTGCGGACTCACATCCATTTTTCTTCTGCTTTTTGTACCATAATGATTTGCCAGTATCCGAAAGGTATTTTAATACTTGTAGTAGTAGTAGTACGGTAGTAGTATTTATCATTTTCCTTAGGTATATCCAACAGGCCTATGGCCTTCTTGCAGAGTGTCAAAGGAGAAATTGTAAACAGCTAGCGCGAAAAACAGTCAAGGTACACTGGGATCGTATGATAGCGGGTTGTGCATTAAAGCGGTCAGCACCAATACAGACTGTAGAGGCCTGGCCAGGACATGAATGGGGGGGGGGGTGGGGGGGGGGCAGTGGGGTGGAGAAAGAGACTACTGAATGTTTGGCGTCTGGTTTTGGAGGTAATATGGGCAACATCATGTCAGGTCGTGAAGATTTGGGAGATGAGGGCACTGCCAAGGGACATGTATAGCTGTATTCGAAATTTGTGTACACATTACACGTCATTTACCAGAACTTAACAGATAATACAAGTATGCTTCGGGTGTAGTGACTCCTGCTCTTCGCGAATCTGATCTACCAGCAGCGGGTCCCTGATGCCGCTTGCCATGTTGTTCAGCACCACCTCAGTCAAGGGCACGTCGCTCTGAGCAGTGCTGTCTAGTCTTGTGGCTCTGGTTTGCTGTCGTTGGGTGTACCACATACGAATGGAGAAGTTTCTAATTCTGCCGTAGCCACCCTCCGCTGAACAGCACTGTTTCAAAACACAGGCGCTGATAGCGACGACATTAATAGCAAGGTACAAGACAAGCGACGCCGTGTTGAGTGTTTCACGAAGCTCGGCCTGGCCCTGAGCCATCATCTGCAACGTGGAGATCATTGCAAGGCTGAAGAGAAACATGCATTCCCAGTTGTTGGCAGATATTCCCATCAGATGGCTTTTCTTCAATGGCCTGTAGAGAGCGAGAGAACATGCAGAAATATCTTTTTATTATTTTCCCGATACGATGGTCTTCACTGTACTTATTGTTCATACCGAATAGGTATTTTTTAATCTTTCTCTTTCTCTCTCTATATATATATCTATCCATCTTTCTCTTTCTCTCTCTATATATATATATCTATCCATCTCTTTTCTCTCTCTCTCACTCTCTCTCTCTCCCTCACTCTCTCTCCTCACCCTCTCTCTCTCTCTCTCTCTCTCTCTCTCTCTCTCTCTCTCTCTCACACCCTCTCTCTCTCTCTCTCTCTCTCTCTCTCTCTCTCTCTCTCTCTCTCTCTCTCTCTCTCTCTCTCTCTCTCACCCTCTCTCTCTCTCTCACCCTCTCTCTGTCTCTTTCTGTCTCTCTCTCTCTCTCTCTCTTCATTCTCTGCATTGTGCCCTGGATGGCATAAGTGACAGTGGCCGTCCTACCAAACTTGCAGAGATAATAGGCACAAGCATCGATGTGATGACAACATCAATCCCAAGTATACGCTCCAGGAGTCAGCTGAATAACGGAGAAAATCAAAGAAAATGTGCGTTCTGATTCCTAGTTTTACGGTCATTTGTGTGATCGGATCATCACGAAATTCCTTCCCATGTCAACACTCAGGTACGGTAAGGAAGTATTATGCTTTGTGGCATAGCGCACTGCTGAAGCAGTGGAGCAGCTTTAAGCAAATGACTCCACTTGAACTTTGCATGCTGGTTGGGGCCCCTTCTGCAAAAATGTGCAGCTGTCATCACAGCACGTATTGTATTCATTGGCATGCAAGGTTTCAGACAAAGTTTAAGGTGTTAACTGTTGAGCAAGAGTTTTGTTGCCGTGCCTACCTGACAAGAGCATAGCAGACCACATATGTCCAACAGAACATATTCAGCACCAGCATTCGATTCATTTCGCTACCGCTGTTGACAGTACTGATAAGAGCCACTGCCACACGACGTAGGAGATTAATAGATGCCCACCAGCGACGGTTGGGCTTGAAATGGCGACTGGCTTCGTCAATGAAGCCTTTTAGGTGGATACTCCGTTGGCATTGTGGCACAGCGAGTATGATTGGTGCGGGAAGTATGACAAGCAGCATGATTGCCACTGACAAAAACTGCGTGAACCCAGTGTTTGCCTTGATAGCATGGGATGGAACCGTCAGCGGCCAGGACAAACTGATCATTCAGCCTGGTGCACCAGAGAGCATTGATGCAGACGAAGGCAAGCGCGAAGTAGCTGTAGACCAAAATGAACCACATGACGCGCACTAAGAGCATATGCTGCTGCCAGCGCTGAATGATCTGACCCGTGGTGTTGTAAGACCTCAATACCCGCACCACAATGAACCAAACTAGGAATGTCCCAGGCTGCAGCAGGAGAAGACTATTCATATCCAGCGTGTCCAGCGGCTGTTCTGGGCAAAGGATTCCGAGACCCCAGGTCAGCACGACGCGCACAGTAACATAAATAAGCTGTTGTTGGTGCACGAATACTCGCCCAGAGGCCTGCACCAACGCAGAATCAAACGAAAGAATATATTTGTATCATAATAATTGTACCGGTAGACAAGAGAGATTGGAAGCTGTGTCACAGCTGTGTCACAGCTCTGAGTTTCACGTATTACTACTGCTAGGTACCTCCTCCCGTACCTTTTCTAGCCTGGCCTGCATGCACTTACGTACTAACCTTTTGTCTCCTTTTGTTCCGTTGGCCTGGGTAGCTACTTGCGCGCCCATATTTGCAATAGCTACCCAGGCCCTTTATCTTGCCGTTCAGACTTGCTCTCTTTTCTCCCTCTTCAATAATCACCATGTAGTCGTTTCGTTCGTCTTGGTCTCTTGTCTCGTCGTCTATAATAAATGTCGTTCCCCGAACCTACCTGTTCCCGTCGTAATGTCTGGATAATGTGTCGTCAGTCGTCCTTTTTCGTATTCAACATTGTCGCCCGATTATTGATCGACCCACGACCCTGAGATCATCCCATGCCCAGTCGTCCTCAACCGCCATTCGTCTCGTCTATGTCAACCTCGTCTCGTCTAGGGCCATCTCGTCTCGGCTCCAACCTCGTCTCGTCTATCAACCTCGTCTTTCCTACGCCAACCTCGTCTCGTCTATGTCAACCTCGTCTCGTTCAAGCCATGCAGGTCAGCTACCTTTCTCTCTTTCTTTTTTTGTATGCGTTCCTTCTTCGTCAAATTGTTTTTCGTGAATATTATCGTAGTGTGTGTGCGCGCGGGTGTCCTTCATTAATATTAGGGGTCCGATCATGGTGAGCCACGCTCCCTTATTTATGTCGTATATTAAAGTGTAACTAGGCTCTATTAGCCGTGCAAAATACTACCGTACTGGCAGTGAGGCCATGAAGCGTTACATTGGCACATGTTAACCGCACGCAGGGCGTTACATGCAAAGTCGCGCAGGAGCCGTTACACAGGTTTCTATATTGCCGCAGTCCTTTTTTTGCTATTGCAGGACTTCCTGCTGCGTCCAGTTTTGAACTTTTCACCACGCGGTACACGTGCTTTCACAGTGTTCAGCCTTTTTTTGCACTGAAAAGATCGCCGCACCCCGCCGGACGCGCGTTACGAACGCAACGAAAATGTGTCGCACTAGCCTGGTCGCTCGTTACGCCGCACCCCCCCCCCCTGCGTTACGCGTTACCCGGCAACATATATTGCCAGTACGGTAGTCATCAGAATACAATTCAAGTCCCTAGTCGAACTCCAATAGTTATTTTTTGTGCCATGTTTTGAAGGGGTGTTTGGGCCCGTTGTTATTGCCAATGTACATGTACACACTATAGTATAAATAGTACAGGAACGTTGACGCTTGTAATGATCTGTAGTGCATTTTTAGTGCACACTTTTGTGAGGCCCGTGCGATGTGTGTGTGTTTTTTCTCCTTCAGTCATTTTTTAAATCTTTTTCTCTCTTTTTTTTCTCTCCGCGAGGACGCGGGATTTTTTTCATGGAGGGGTGGTATGTTAGGTACCTCCTCCCGTACCTTTTCTAGCTGGCCTGCATGCACTTACGTACTCACCTTTTGTCTCCTTTTGTTCCGTGGCCTGGGTAGCTACTTGCGCGCCCATATTTGCCATAGCTACCCAGGCCCTTTATCTTGCCGTTCAGACTTGCTCTCTTTTCTCATTCTTCAATAATCATCATGTAGTCGTTTTTTTCGTCTTGGTCTCTTGTCTATAATAAATGTCGTTCCCCCAACCTACCTGTTCCCGTCGTAATGTCTGGATAATGTGTCGTCAGTCGTCCTTTTTCGTATTCAACACTACGATCATCAGTCAACTGATGGCTCCAATATGGGCAGCCTGAACATAAGTCCAAATTTTCGGGCCAGACTTTTCTTCTTCTGAAAATGGGCCTGGATAAATTATTTTTGGAAGGATTTGGGGCTGAAAGACCGTTCTTGGGGTAGTGGTGTACAACTGCGTGAAATCGTACATGTACCGTAAAATCCCACCAGAGTGCCCCGTCCCTGCCATCCGCCCCTCCCTGACTTCTTGTCAGGGACGTGATTGATTAGAGAGGTTTTGCTTCACGTTTTTCTGCACTACACCGTGAAATTTCACGTCGGTGTGGCAAATTTTGGCGTCGAAACTCCCGTTCATGACGTGAGCTGAGGTCAACTCACGTTCGACGTGAACGCGAGTTTTTGGAAATTTAGCCTTGCTATCTATCAGGTTGGGATTATTGACTCGATTTGTCGATTTTGCCTAAACTAGTGTAAATAACTTAAATGATATTTGTGCCACTTTGGCCTCACCAAAAATCACTTTTTTCACTTTTTGAAGTTTTCGCTCCCAGTTTTCGCTTCTGTCGTCAGCGACACGACGTGCTTCACAAGCAACGTGAAACGAAAGCTCTTTTTGAGCTCGCGTTGACGCAAAAAATTGACGTTCACGTAAGAGCACAAATCACGCGGGTCGGAACCTCTCTATTGTATCCTCGTATGACTCTGTCGCAGTCTGTGATGCCGTACTGCACTGCAGACGCGTGCTCGACCCCGTTGGAAATGTACGCAACAGTGTCCACCCTCCTGACCAGGGATCGCACAAATCCTGCGTTGTTGTTGTTGTTGTTGTTGATTTTTATTTTACTTCGCAAGGCCAAACGGGCAATCGGGTGCCCAATTCTATGGAAGCGAATTTCAAAAGGGAGAGAGCTACGGGGAGAGAGAGAGAGAGAGAGAGAGAGAGAGAGAGAGAGTGAGAGGGGGGGGGGGAGGGAGGGAAATGATAGGCAATTTTGCAGCGTCAACACAGCGATTTTGCAGTGTCAATAGAGCGATTTTGAAGCGTCAACAGAGGGAACGTAAAGAGTTCATAAGCGCTGCGTTTTGTCGGGTCTGTCCGACTCCTGGCTCTTGACCTTTGGTCGATGTACGAGATGCACGAACAGTTTTCGTAGGGTGAGTACCTTTTCATGTAGCACTGAATGCGGCAAGTAGGACTTGCCCATCCGCCCCTCCCCACCTGAAGCGTCGAGGAGGTAGGGGCGCTCTGGCGGGATTTTACGGTATATCTAAAACATTTTAAAGCGGGATTCACAGAAGGTTTTTTGCGATGCGACACGCGATGCGACAGTCGCGAAACCGGGAAAACCCCAAATCGCAGCCATGTCGTACCCCACGCAACTGCCGCAACTGGGCTATCGCAGGCCATCGCAGAAGTTGAGCTTGGCTCAACTTTTGCGATGCGATGCGATGCGACAAGCAATTTGGCGTACGATTTTGACCTTTTCTACACCAAAGTTGTACAAAGGTTCAAGAGTTGCCTATAAATTTGTACAGGTTGTACCAAACCGCGCGAATATCATGGTGACGTACCCAAATCAGCAAGACTTTGCAAAAATTTGTCGCATCACTGACTTCTTCTGTGAATTGTATTTCGCGAGTTCGCATCGCACGCGTCCGTCGCAGAGCGCGTCGTAGAGCGTGTCGCATCGCAAAAGGCTTCTGCGAATCCCGCTTAAGTGTCAAGTACGTAACGTAGCTTCCAATACTAATAATTCTTATCAGTTCCACCGCACCACCCACGCTATTTAATCGCCAGGTAAGGAAGCTGTATGAAGTTTACCGCTTCTCAGTTTCAGGCAAACCTAGTTTCACGTGTTGAACAATATAGTCTAAATCCGCTACTGCAGTTATTTTGTTTTAGTGCCTTTCCAGTGTTCTATTAGCACCCCTGGTTCTCAATCTATTGTTCTTCCTCTCATTTGACTTAGAAAGTCTCAGATTTTGAGTTTTTTGCGCTCCATACATAATTTTACTTGTGTTTTCATTATTTTATTGGTTTGGTGAGACTCCCATGATAGGTAACCATTTACCTCTGGAGAATCCGTAAATAAACAAAACAAACAAACCACAAAGTGTGGCTATTTACTGTATCGACGTGGTCTTTTGCAAATCTTAGTGTTCACTAGAGAAAGGAGACAGGAGCTGCTTGTTGCCGATGCTACATATAATAGGGAGGTTCGGAGTACGATTTTTCGTGCCAAAATTCATAGAGGCGCTACGGATTTTTCATACGTCGTTTTCGAGCAGTGAAATGTTCCGGAGTACGGAACTTATGTGTTTGCCGTCATTGCCTAGGTTACGATCGCAAACACGTCACATTCCCGCGCTATGCCTTTTTATTATGAAAATTTGTACCGAAATCAAAACTTTCCGCGGAAAATCGATGTTTCTCGTACCAAATTTCATACCTGCTAAGTATCCAGATTTGTTCGGGATTATCCCGCAATTTTGTATGAACTCCCGCGATCCCGAAATTCCTGTCGATTATCCCGAAATTCACTGTACAAGAAACAAGCTTGATATTGTACTTGGATCACTTCAAATGACTTCTCACAGGCCAGTAATTGTCCTTATTGATCCCGGACCGCCATAGCCTGCAGTACCACTGGATCTCCTAGTGCTCCTTCCATGAGCAGTCTCTGAAAAACCTCCGTTATTGAGTCTTGAACATGTTTAAGTGTGATCCGATGATCACCATCAATCATCTACTTCCTCCGTATACAAAAACTTCGTGACTTTTTTTTGAAAGCTGCGCACAGCTCTGGAATGGTTCCGTTTGACTCGGAATAACACTCGTGGCATTGTCTAACCTGTTTACAAGCTATATACAAAGAAAAAGGAAACTCAGACGAATGAGATTGAGTATTTTCAGAGTCTTCGTCGCTCATTTCATTGTCACCTGACGACGCTCACTCCGCATCACCAACAGTCGCTGCTTCCGCCCGCATTTCGTTCAGATTCTTGTCACCTGCAGTGATGGTCCGGCGCTGGACTTTGGCTACGTTCTTCATCTCTAGAGCTGTGTACGAATCGGTGTCGACTATATTCAGTCGTTCCAATCCGCGACCTCCATTATACCGTGAAACGAGTCGTGCAAGCACATCCACACGCTTCGCATTTTCTCGCCAGGATAATCCTCCCAAGCATTCTACAATGGCCTCGAGGAGGTCCCTGCGATTCCCCTTGGCGACAAAGGAGACGTCTGACTGGAGAGAGGCGAAGAAAGCCAGGCCATCGACATTCTGATCCTGAGTCTGCGCTGGTTGCACGACGACTGAAATGTTTCATCTTGCCGTGCGAGCAGATCTATGCCTATGGGGCCGCGCACCGCAAGTACGAGCCTGGCCAGTTTCAGGGCAGCGAGTGCCGCATGACTCCGTGTTCCAGCCACGAGCTACACTTCGTCACTGTGTCAGTTTCGAGCAAGTAAGTGTTAGTTTTTTTCATTTGACTCTTGAGTTTCTGTCGGCAACGTCCTCACACGCATGGCGTCCGTGGAGAATCTGTTCGGGATCAACCAAACTAACCTCGACATGGACTTGGGTTGTCGATGACAGCCTTTGGCGCCGTTCGTTGAGCAGGTTCTTTCTCAAAAACACCGTTCAAAAAGAGTCACGAAGTTTTTGTATACGGAGGAAGTATTATCGAAATGTTGGTGCCATCAAAAGTATTAGTTGAAAAAGGACGTTTTTGGTAAAAAATATGACATATCCCGAAACACCAAGGCAAATCCCGGGATTTTGCCATGGCGATCCAGAAAAAGCACTCTCAGTACTTGGCAGGTATGAAATTTTTATGCGAAAAATCTTTCTGCACCCGATGACGCAAAATCTCCGTACGAAACATGGTTCGTACGAAAGCCAAACCACAAGGACTCTCCGCGCCGAAAAATCGTATAGAGCACGCCTGGAAAAAATCCGTACCGCCCATACGGATTTTGGCACGGAAAATAGTACCCCGGAACCTCTCTAATAACGAAACATTCTGATGAGGAGAATGTACACGTACCTGAATAAGGAACAGCCAGCAGTCGAGAACTGGGGACATGCCAAAGTTGAATTGCATCACCAACAGGGGAAAGCTGAGAAACGTCATGAAGACCACAGCCATGATGTACACGTGCAAAGGTATCTGGGTGGTTGATGCAGAACAGTGATAACAGTGCTGCATATGGAAACATGTAAGCCACACAGCAGACTGGGTAAAACAGGCCTACGCGATATTGCGTTCTAGTTATCCATCGATTAAAAAAGTAAAAGCATCTGATCGTGTCCGTTCTCGAAGGGAACTCACACCGCCCGCTAACACCCGGTAAACTCTAGATGCAGCGCCTAACGGTGGGGGGGGGGGGATAAGTCTCACAGCCACTGGCACAAGTGCTGAGAAACCCCATTAGTTCCATCTGTGTACCCCTTGTGCCTGGCAACAAGTTCCAAGTTGACTGTGGGTAGCAGCACAGTTGGAAAACCGCTTCCAAGCAGTACTTGAACCAGGTACCTTTCGTATCTCAATCATGGTCTCTGACCAACCCACTGTGCCTGCCTGCCTTGTCTATTCAATACAAAGAATCATTTCGGCTTGTAAGGCACCTCTTGTTGTGGGAGGTGTGTGTGGTCGGCCGCAAAGCGCAGCTGTGGTGGGTAGTCAGTTTCATCATCATGGAACAGCCTCTTCTACGGACGAGCAAACACGCACTACATCATCACCGTCATCATCATCAAAATAATTAACCCATTGGGGTTGCTGTGGCAACAATGTCACCCCATTCCGTCCGAGTCTCTGTCCAGTGCTTGACCTGCACTGGCTTGTGTGCTCCACTTTCCTTCTTCGCACGGGCCGCCCATTTGACTGCTGGTCGTCCCCTCCTCCTTATCCCCGGCACCATGCCCTCCACCAGGCAACATCCTCTCGTGATATGTCCGTAATAGTCAAGTAACACCGAGAATATACATATGGTGATTCTTCCATCATCCACCACACCACACTGCGCTCTTCAGTCTCTCCAGGTTCCAGCCCCCTGCTGCTTACCCATCGTGATTATGGAGGTTATAACTACAGTCAACTTCGCTAATAACGACTGCGGATATAACGACAATTCGCGAATAACGACAGAATTTCCATACCCAGAGCAAAGTCCCATCCCACTGTAATACATATAATGAGACTTCGGGTATAACGACACTTCGCCCATAAGGACACCTTTTTGACGCCCCATCGAGTGTCGTTATAAGCGAAGTTGACTGTACAGGTAGAACATAACTACTGAACAACTACATTATAACTATAGTGATTGCTTACAGGTAAAGACGGTGTTTGCCAGTATCCTGGCTCGCAACGACCACATAGTGGCCCGGCGGAGTGGCCAGGGCATGGACGAGTTTCTCCATAATCCCAATCTCTGTTAAGGCACTGTGGGTTCTGGCATTGAGCTATCACGAACGGGTAGTCAACGTACTTGGCATAGGCACTAGTGGTCTCGAAGCTGCCCGTACCATTAGCCTTGCAGATAATCGATTGCGGGAAGCTCCCCACTCCATCCCAAGAAGCGTTCCTCGCATTTCCTGCCCAGTAGCCAGCTCTCACTTGGAGGAAGCGTCCCTTATCGCAAGACTTCACTCCTGGAACTACATCCTTTTGAGACTGGCACACCCATAGGTTGCCTGTTCTGGTTAGCTGTGAACATGATTAATAGAAAGAGAAACATAGGAAAAAAGAAGAACAAAAAAGTTACGAGTTATGACTAACTATCCACCAACATAACCAGAATGATCTTATACAGTCAGCGAGTGCGACAAAATGGCACAAAACTGACAAGGAGTACTTAGACAATCGGCGACCTGACACCTAGCTCCAACACTTCTCCAAGGCGCAAACCAACAACCTTCCAACCTGGAAGGCTCAGGTTCGGAACGGTCCAAAAGGGGAAGGAAAGCCATAATTAGCGCTTGCACCCGAATGCATCAGAGCAGTGTTTAGGAAATGGGAGAGCCAAGTGACCACATGCAATGGAAAGTCACAGAGCAAAGCTGCATGCATACCCACGTATTCTCACAACACCGCACAAGGATGATTGGGGTACACCAGTGTGCTGGTTTCGATCAACTGGTGAAGCGATTGGCGTTGCAAACAGCCAAAGTGATCGCTCACGACTGAGCCGCAGCAGTACCCGCGACCGGGTGCAAAGTTCCCCCTGATCGACGTTGCAAACAGCCAACCAGGGTGAAGCAATTGGCGTTGCAAACGGCCAAAGCAATCGCTCATGCTTGAGCGGCAATAGTACCCGCGACCGGGTGCAATGACTACTGATTGGCGTCGCAAATAGCCGACCAATAGTATGCAATTTTAAGCAGAGATAGTAGCAGCAAAGCAACCAGTTGGAGGAAGCTGTTCCCAGAAAACCAGCACACGGCACCCCAGCAAGCCTTCACCACCAATGCACGAGAGCTAAGAACAAGTGATCAAGGCACGAGATGGATAAAGGTAGGCATGCAGATGGATGAAATCCAATGCAGGTTCTCAATACGGCAATTTAGCAATGACAATCGGTACCTGTATGTCAAGGCTATTACATCGACTGGAATGGCAGCACTGCTTCTTCTGGTTGTGCTTGGGCAGCTGGGGCGAGACGCCGGAATTCCTCCATGCGGAAACGAGACAGCGAATCGGCAATGCAGTTAGACTGGCCAGCAATGTGAGCAGCAGTGACGGTGAAATTGAAGCGGGCGCACACAAAGAACAGCTCCCTGATCAGGGTCATCACTGGCGGTGACTTGGATGTGCCGGAGCGGATGCAATCTACCACAGCTTTGTTGTCACAGTGCATTGTGATACGAAGCTGGCGCCATTCCTTGCCCCATGTGCAGCACGCTGTGACCAACGCGTAGAGCTCCTTCCACTCAATGCTGTGAGCGAGTTGCTCAGGAGACCAGGTCCCTTGAAGCCAGCGGCCGCTGTTGAATGCGCCCCAGCCCAGGATGCCACTGGCATCAGTGAACAGCTCCAAGTCTGGAGATGGTGTCCAATCTGGGAACAGGAAGAATGACTTTCCGTTCCATTGTTCCAGGAGCCGTAGCCACCATTGGATGTCTTCCTGGCACTCCGTAGTCAGACTGATGCGGTAGAGAGGCTGCTGGTAGCGACTGCAAATAGACCACAGGCGCCGCATAAACGTCCGGCCGGGTACGATGACTCTTGCAGCGAAGGAGAGTTTCCCCAGAACAGATTCGAGTTCGCGCTGAGACAGGGTGGGGTTGATGCCCGCTGCAGTCAACAGGCGCTTGATGTCAGCCAATTTGTCGTCCGGGAGCCGGGCTTCCATCTTCTCACAATCCAGGATAATGCCCAGAAATGTCAGGGTTCGAGACGGGCCTTCCACCTTCGCAGGCGCGAGCGGGACTCCGAGGTATGAGAATGCACGGAGAAGAATGGCCAGCTGCCGATTCTCCACTGCCTGGCCCACGCTCACGCACAAGTAGTCGTCCAGGAAATGCAGCAAATTAAGGATGGAGAATTCGTGGTGCATTATCCATTCGATGGTGGCTGCCACGGCATCAAAAACCGCCGGGCTAGAGCGGAGCCCAAATGGCAAGACACGGTCGTAGTAGTACTTCCCCCTGCCACAGGATGCCGAGGAGATGCCAATCCTGTGGGGGGACAGGTATTTGACGGAAAGCGCTCTTCACATCGAGTTTAGAGAGACAGACAGGAGACGGGGAGGGCATAATGATGTTAATGGCTTCATCAATGCTGATGTACTGCAAAGAGAAAGGCTCGGCAGGGATCCCGTCGTTAACGCTGGAGCCGGCAGGGCTGGACAGGTGGTGTATCAAGCGTAGCTTGCCATTCTTTTTCGGAACGGCGCCAATGCCAGAGCAGTATATAAATGGGAATGGGGGCGTGTCAAATGGGCCAGCCGTGTAGCCGGCGTTGCAGGAAGCGGTGAGCTGTGCAGACACAAATGCAGAGTGCTGGAATGCTGATGAGAGGTTGGACGAGTGCTGGTTAGTTATGCGGTTGCCGGGAAAGCCAATGTTAAAGCCGCAGCGGAGGCCGTTAATAACATACGAAGCCAATGAACTGTCGGGTGGTTACGCAGCAGTGATTCGAAGCGAGAAACAGAGAGGGGTGTGTGGACAGCAGGACATGCGCTTGTGAAATCAGTAGAACTGCAGCCAAAGCAGCAGAGTTACTGGCGCCTACCGCACTTAGATCCGTTGTGGTCCTTGGACCCGCAGCTGTTGCAGACATGGGCGTACTTGCACATGCTGAGACTGCAACGCCCAGCGTTGAAGTTCCGACAGATCGGTTGGCCATTAGACACCGTACGGACTCCATTGAAGGCTTGCTGGTTGTTACGTTGCGGACGAAAGGGACACTGGCCGCCTCCGGGATGGATGAGGCGGCAGGACTCACATGTGGGCCTTGATCGGCTAGTCACGGACATTTGCCACAGCTTGATGTCGATGACGTCAAAGCGCTTGCCTGGCTGAGCAGAAATGGCAAAGCGAAACTGGGTGTCGTACGACAGCCAAGCCTCCGGATAGTATTGCCTGTTGGCTGCAACTATGGTGGCTTGGTAGGAGAGCATCTCCTGCAGGCGGGACGGGTTGGCAGAACACACGACGTTCATGAAGAGAGTCCATGCCTCCAGCCATGTCGGCAAGTCGTGGACACGTCGACGAACGGGCTGGGCAGCTCCACCTTCCACCACCTCCAGAGACTGGCCGCCACTGCTGAACTGCAGCTGAAGCTGGCGTGGGGCAGATTTCGAGGTGGCGATAGTATCGGGCAGCAGCTGGGTGAAATCTACAAAGTCACCCTTCAATATTTTCTCTCGTATAGTCTGGGGAACGAAGAGATTACCAGCGTTGGAAGACTCCGCCGAAGGCTGAGTTCCAGCGGATCCAGGGGCAGTGATGGTGCCGGTGGCCAGCATTGGAGCGATCGCCTCCGACAAGGCAACGGTGCTGGCGGAATGTACTTCCTGCCGCACAAACTGGCGCAAATCGTCATTCCTGCTCCGGTCCGGGATCTGGGGAGTCGGAGAAGCCTGCAACACTCTCCAGATCCTGCTCTTGCTCCTGCTCCTGCTCCTGCCGCAGGGATGGCGTGGCCGACGGGAATCGAGGTTCCCGTGCCGCCGAGCTCGACGTGTCCTGGATACTGAGCAGCAAACGGGCAAGAAGCTGGGGCTTTGTTCCGCTCGAATTCAGCCCACGGCCTTCCAGCTCGGCCCGCAAGTCCGACACGTTCATACTACGTGCTTCAGAGGTAGACAACATGTTTGTCGTGCAGTAAACGGCTGCGAGGAGGCTACAAGGAGTCTGAATAATTAATTCTATTCTCCTCAAACAAATTCCGGTTGCTGCTCAGTGACACTGCAAAGGAAAGCGCAAGGCAAAGTCAGCGCAGCAAGAGCTACCCAAGGCGATTTGGGCACGCATGCGCAGCAGTTGAGTGCACGTGTAAAGCTAGGTCAGTCGCAGCTAGCATGCGATAGAGAGCAGCGCATCGGTCTTATCGCTAACTAGGGTTAGCCCAAAAGCTAACCCAACATTTAAATTGGCTCACCATCCGAGAACACAGGACACACCCAGGTATACACCACTGCCCCACAACGGTAAATCGGTAACCCATTCTTCCAAATATAACAGAATAAGTTCTATCCAAATGTTCGGGCCTAGCTGATCTTCACACCCTGAGGAAGGTGAACGGAGGACACACCATGAGGTAGTACTGGATGGTGATACCGTGTGCTCATGTATGAACCAGTCTTTCCCCAGGAAGAATGCTGACTATTTAGCGTATTCATTTCAGTGCTTTAAAATACACCGTACCATGATTGTAGATAGCTGTACATATGTATCTTCTATTTAAAGAAGGAGAGGTTTTGTACCTGTGGAAATGGATCGCTGAATCCCTTGTGGCATGGTCGAAGTCTAAATGGTATCTCCAGCACGAATGGCTCTGCAGAATATCGAGCTCTGGCGCTATTCGCTCCCTTCAGGGTCACCAGGAGAGATCCACTGCTGCCCGGTTGGCCGGCAAGAGCAAAGCCAGTAAGTTCATGTTTGGACAAGAACTCCATACTTGTTATCGCCGCTGATTGCCACCCATCAGACTGTATCATTCGCACTGACGCGTTATCGCTTTTGACCTACAGAGGAAGCACGGTAACATACAGGTCAAAGAATCATCACGAGCTATAATATATAGATGCACACAGAAGGATCTATGACTTGGCTTGATCGCTGTCCTCGTCACACTGATTTTAATGAGGACATTTTGTTTTCCGACTGAACTAATAGCATACTGATAACATTGAACGTTTTCTCTAATAATCGGAGGCTCCACTGCAACAATTTGATCAACTTGATCATCATGATCATGCTTCATTACCAACACCACTACGGTCGTGTGCTGCAATTCAAGACTTATATCTCTCGCAATGTGGCAAAATAACAAGGAACATAATAGCCAGTCATATTCATGATAGTATGCCAGAATAGGTCTCAAGCAATTTGATCTGTCACTGGGTTTGCAGATAATGCTAACTGCAAGTTGAAGAAAATGAAGGAATTCGATGACACTCCCAGTTTCACGCACGAGGCGACCATTCATCAGGCAATACTAGCTGCATAGAAATGCACAGTGCCAGTTTAACCCTTTATGGGTCTCACATAAGCGAAAGGGTCGTATGTGACCCTTACAGTAAAATCGCATTTTCTGTGAGTTTTGTTGCTAGGAGACAACTAAAATGGTGCTCCACGCATAGCTGAGGCCCAAGGCTTTCCAACGGTGTAAAAAACAACCATACTTACCATACAAAATTTTGCAGTATCGATCGACTGAAGTCTGGTGAAATTGGAAAAGACGACCATCCGCCATGCGCGCATTTCGCGAATGGGAGTGCATCTCTTGAGGCCGTGTCAGAAAAGCTTTCTGAGGACACTGACGGCACCAGTCTAGGCTGGGTGTCCCTGGAAGATTTCCAGTGTAATGTCGTGAGAAAGAGAGCTCCGTTGAGTCCTCCTAGCTCAAATAAATCGTCCCCGAATGAAGAAATCAAATTTACCAACCAGCGAGGAAGCACAGCAACAGCAACTCTTACAAGGACTTGTCAGGTGCGATCAGCTGATCCGCCTGGCCGTGAGAATCACGGCATGCGTGACATCGCGCCTGAGTACTCATTTGAGCGAGAGTGAATCTGACGCGAGCGGCGCTGAGGTGAACGAACCAAAATTGTGATATTGTGGAACTGTTGCTGCTGGTGCATCGCCGATGGCGAGGTATTGGAGTTCAAGGACGGAATTAGGAGCATATATTCTTCACCAAGACGTAGCGCTTACCTGATTGTTTATCATAGGACTTCAGCTCCATCACGAACTTGGTATGCACTTCGCGCTGTGATTTTTGTGTTTTTTGTTCGCAATTGTATTTTCTCTCAACTTGAAGGGCTACCACGGGTCATACCCTTGCCTGGACATAGTCATATTTGTGTTTTCTGGACTCGTCCAGGCACACAGATTTTGAAAATATATAGTTTACCCATACCTACAACTCACAGAACTTGAGTTATGGCTGGTTGTTTGAACGCGTGTTTGCTTGACCACCCCTCACATACATTGAGTAAGACCCACAAAGGGTTAATAAATTATAAAAGAGGAACCTTACAGTTAGTGAGAGGCTGTTGGAAAGAGTGTTCAACAAACTGTCTCGGGTATCGATGTTGAGAGTGATAACTTCCCCTGGTGATGGGTAGAGGGTGAGCTGAGATATGCTGGTTTGCGACGGGCCTTGTCTAGCGGTATATCTGAGACGTTGTATATCGCGACCACCCTCGTTCCAACCAACACCAATAGCATGTACCCATGGCAGGTACCAGTGCTCATGGCCTAGGAGAACATTGCTGATGGAGTCATTATATGCTCTGATCACATCAGCCAGTCTGTTCAGGGCATAATCACGGGGGAGTAGCCGTAAAGTTTGTTTTCTGGGGATTAAATGATACACACAAGGGTTTTTTTAGACAAAATGGGAACATTTTTGAAAACGCGGTTTAATAAATCTCGTACGCAAACCTTTTTTAGGTTTGCGTTTATAAACAGCAAAAAATCGAGGCGTTAGTTGTTAGACGTGGAAGCAAAGGAACACATTTACCAGGTTGGAGGCTGGAAAGACCCACATGACGCTTCCATGGATCAAATACGTGGAATATGAGGTTCAGGTCTCACCTGAATTCCAGGACTTTGCTGGTGATAGCCATGCGATTGCACTTAGTCCTGGCGTACAGCCATGTATCGCCATCCAGTCTCTTCAAGCATTCCGTGCTCGACTCTTGAAATAGGATCCATGTCGGCAGTCCCTTTGACAACACTGCCAGCTGATTGCGTTCCTTGACAATCAGGGCCTTACTGTGATCATCCGCGCATAGCAGGTTTCTTGTGATATTGAACGGCTCTGCGGAACATGCTACCAGCGTTTTCAAACCGTACATGTCACAGTCTGTTGGCGTAGAGAAGATTTTCTCACCCTCAAGCGTCGGACCAACGCATGTGAATTGCAAAGCCATATCAACTTGAATTGAGCATACGCGTGGTGAGGCGAAAGTGTCCTTCTGCGGCCTGTGGCTGTATTCAGTGATATCTCCATGGTGCTGGACATGAAAATAGAAACGCGAAAAGAATGCCCTGGAATTCAGCAAATATATTGCAAAACAAAGAACAAATTCTTTGATCCCTCGGTGTGTGGTCAAGCTCCATGTGCCTAAATGCCTGAAATTTGTTACCTTAGAATGGGAGAACTATACAATTACACGTAGTTCCTCTGTGAAGAAAGAGAACATGGTCTCTCTCCATCTCTGTCTGTCAGCCTCTCTATCTGTCTCCCTGTATGTCTGTCTGTCCGCCCGTCCGCCCGTCCGTCCGCCCATCCGTCCGTCCGTCCGTCCATCCGTCTGTCTGTCTGTCTCTCTCTCACTGTCTATCTCAAAGCCATTCGCATCAAACAATGAGTTCAATGAACGTTCCACTCTAAAACCTTTGTAAACTTGTTAAAGTCCAATTTGTCATGAGTGGCGAACTTTGGAAATGACAGAAATGCACACATTGAAGTCAGATGAAAGGAAAATTGAGCAAATAGTATATTGTATGAAATAGGGCCTACATTGAAGTATTAAATGACCTGTTCCTGAAGCAAATAATCTCTGTTGCTTACCCTCCCATCGTCTTCCAATGTGCAGGCTCCATAGCGCTGGAAGATATCTGCAACTATGACTCCGAAGGGGAGGCCTATGACGACCTGATCCCTGGTACCTCCATGTACACTAACTCCAGAGTCGAAGATGGAGTATTGCACTGGAATCACATTCATGAGCAGATGATGAAGCTGGAACACCATAGTAAAAGAAAACCGACATTATTGCATCTGATACTAAAGAGAAATATACATTTCAGTCTCAGAGGCTTGAAAGTTTTCACTGGTATACTTTCAAGCATACATGTTTAATACAAGCAGCAGTAAATGGACAGGGACAACGGTTTTCTATGTACCATAGAGTGGTGATGAAACAGCGCGAGGTAGAAGAGCTAAAGCAACAAATAAATTGCATCTGAGTACCGTCTCGCCTGTCGTGCTCAGCATTATGTACCTATGCATAGTTCAGGGCTGCTATTGAGGAGGGGTTTTCCGAATGGAGGCCCTTTTCGCAGCTAACTGGAGTTCTTTCTGCACTGTCATTATACAATGCATTTCACGTATTGTTATCAGCCTAGTACTTCAAAGTAAAAGAAACAAAAAGGCTACGTGGAGACAATAATACTTATTCATTGCATTAAAAAAGAAACAAGTTCAACATTTATATATCAATGTGAGAAGTGCGAAGTAAGCCAATAATTATTTTCTTCTCATTTGGCAAAAGTCATTTGTGTTCACATTAAACGAAAGGGAACACACCCAAAAATCAAACTTCACGGTCCGTAGAGTTTTGGGCACTGAGTCGAATAGTGAAGGTCCCAGTAGCTTCGATCCGATCAACCTCTGCTGAGATATCTTCTTATAAAATTGTATTTTCGGGGACGCGTCATGGCTTCTTGCGGCCGCGACACCGCCTCCCCCCCCCCCTAGAAACAAAAAAACGCCCTTCTTCTTCTCGCTTCACATATACTGGCACACACAGAGACATAGACAGCAATAGCGACAACACACAAAGTGAAGGGTAGTTGGCCGCAGCCAGATGAGATGTGAACCGGATAAGGAGTGAACTATGGAAGCAAGGACTGAGAACAGAGTGTCTCAGATAGAATAGGCTTGCCAGTGGATAGCAGAAATAGGCCATGATGCAGAACCACTTGGGACCGTCAGATTAATTTTCCTGGACCAAGCCAGCCGGGTAAAAAACCCTTGCGCCGACGGACGCAGTTGTGAGGGAACAAAACGGGTGTATATCCCCAATGGCGAGTAGGCATCCTGTATGCAGGCAAGCACATCACGGCAAAAAGTGGTAAAAAAGCAATGATATTATTATGCACAGAAATGAAGGGTGGGAGGGCAGGGACACTGGTGTGACTCAAAACTGACTGAACAAGTCAGGAAAAGAAGCGACAATAAAGAACACACCAGATGCCATATTTGCAACTGAAAATGTTTCGCGAGAAATCATTTCTCGCCTATCTCGCTGCGCTCGGCCGGCGAGAAATACAATATCTCTGCGACTAGCCTGCTTGGGCCGAGCTGATAGGTACAGTTTTATTTGGTGTTTGAAAGGAAAAAGTTCTGCCAAAGAAGTCCTAACCAAGCTGTTTCGACGTATCAGACGACCTTGAAAGCTCAGAGCCTGAACTGAAAATGTTTGGCTTCGGGCCAGAGCCGAAATTTTCAGGAAAGGATATGACAGCGCAATCAGAGGCTTCCATTCCAGCTGTACAATTTAATGCAGATGAAGCAGAAATGGCTACAATTGGAGAAGTCGATCTCCATCAGCAACATCTGGGGACCGTTTGGCGGGGTTATTTCGAAATGAAGCAGCAGCCATTCTCCCCCTCAAAGAAGCTCAGACAAGCCTGAAAATATGTAAGTGTTTCACAGTACAGCCCTACGTAATGCTCACAAATCAAATCGATGATTCGTGCTCTTCACACCCTAAATCGTGTGAATTTTTCTATTCGTAGAATACTCTCCTCAATAGTCTCCTCACTCGTACTGCAGTACATGGAGTTTCTGCGTAGCGTAGCTAGCATTATCTCCATGCAAGTCGTGCAATGTGTATCGGTTCACTTGTGCTTTATCGCACATAAGTGGACTGCACCTCAGTTCGTATTGTGGCGAAAAAATACATTCTCACCTTTTGCATTATCACTTTACAGAATGCTGAGACGTTCTTTTGTATTTCACGCAGCTGTGTACCCACAATTGTGCTGTGTACTCGAGCAGCAGCATCAGCAGCACGGTAGCATTTTGAATGCGTTTTGCCCTACTGTACTACCTCGTGACTGCATTACAGGAACAGCTCTGTCAAGTTCTTGATTATGTATAAAATGTGTGCACATATCTGCCTGCACCCCCCACACACACACGCACGCACATGTGCTGATCTTGGTGCGCGTGTAGTAAATAATCTATACACATGCTCATGCCCGCACACACGCACTTTCACAAGCGCGTGCGCACACTAGTGCGTAAGCATACAAGGGCTTATGCATGCTCATGCACGCATAATATGTGCGCAGCGACGCCACGCACTCATTCACTTACGTGCACGCGGACGCATATGACTTGTTTTTGAGCGCGTCAACAAAGAGTAGTAACATTTTGAAGGTGTTAGATACGCTATCGACAGACAACGGAATTCAACAACACAACTGTGTGATAGGGCTCACCTGTGTTATGACGACCTGGGACTTGTCTAAATTAAACCGATCGTTACAGTTCCAGGCACATGGGGACCGGTGTGCGCCATCAATGGTAATGGTACTGCTAGCCAATGCAATGTCCACCACGCCACAATTGTGTCTAAGTGACAAAGGAGAAAATGAGCAACTTCAGTGCCTGGATCCAGCTGAGCAGCAAGGAAACATATAATTGGCCACTCGCTAGGCTTTCCCCAAATCTTTTTTGGCTAATCGGCTTTTCGCTCGGCTCAAAAAATATATCAGATTCGGCTGAAAAATCAGCTGATTGTTCGAAAATCGGTAGAAAAATTGGAATATAATAATTGGAAAATCGGCTAAAAGAATTGTTGGCTTATTGGCTTCAAAATTGGTGAGAAGCTTAGCAATTTTCGATGGTTACAGGATTTGGGTCAAATTTTTCACCTCAAAATGTGTGTAGCACGAGCATAAGGAAAGGTATGCGACCAATTCTTCCTTGCTAGGGCTTAGTAGGTATCGAGAGTTGAGTAAGATATTTTTCCAAATACTAACATCTCAGGCTCATCTCCTTGTGCAATATTACTAAGGCCTATGCCCTATTTTCGAATCCTATAATATATAGGATTTGAGATTTTTTTAAGGATAAAACAAGGTTCAATAAAATCTCAAATCCTATATATTATAGGATTCGAAAATAGGGCATACCATTAAACCATTATGCCGGTATTATGGGTCATGATCCCCAATAACAACGACAGAAAGGTTACACATTTTCAAATCCTATTACACTGTATAGCATTTTTGCCAGCAAATTAAGAGATAAATTATGAATAGTTTATACCCACTGGTTTGAGAGAAAGACACAAAATTGACTGCCACCACCGTGAATGGAACCAGGAACCCTCGCTTGTAGCCAGTAGGGAGCGCCTGAATATGCTTCAGCATATTTTCGGATATTTTGGTCCTTTTGACTCAAGGTCGCATAAAGTAGCAAATCTAGCATATTGTTCCAAATGTAGCATATTTTGCTACAAGGAGCAAAGAATTCGCATAATTATAGGGCAGATTGCGGAAATGGACAAGGAAACTTACCACGGCACGCTCGGTCAGGGAACACTTCCAAACTTAGCCCGGAAGGATAAATGCTCATCCAAACACGGGGCAAAAATTTGACCCGAGAAGAGAGTGTCCGCAACTCAAGGTCGCATAAAGTAGCAAATCTAGCATATTGTACCACATGTAGCATATTTTGCTACAAGGAGCAAATAATTCGCATAATTATCACTGATATCAGTTCTGGTGATCAAGCATATTTCGAGCATATTTTTCTGCTTTTGTGTGATTTCGAAAAATATTTTGAAGCAAGTGGCCAATATGCGAAAAGCATAATATGCGAAATTTGTTAGCATATTTGGGCCCTCCCTAGTAGCCAGCGATGCTCTGACCATTGAACTATGGTGTTGTCGTCATCCCAGCAGACGCAGTCCAACATTTTCTTCAGACTTCGTAACTCACACTTCCTGTGAATCCGCAGAGGCAGGTGGGACGCTGCCCTCGCTGTAATCCACACACTTCACGTACAAACTAGCACGCGGGGAGCCCCAAGTCATAAATTATTCAGTGCATGGTTTGAGGGAAAGACACACAGGGGAAAAGTCTGAAGAAAAAATTGATTGTCACCACCAGGACTCGAACCAGGGACCCTGGCTTGTAGCCAGCGATGCTGTAACCACTGAGGTATGGTGTAGTCGTCATCCCAGCAGAGACCGTTCAACATTTTTGATCTATACCTAGCTCATTTTTCGTGCCAAAATCCGTAGAGTCGCTACGGATTTTTCATACGTCTTTATCAAGCAGTGAATTGTCATGTTTATGTATCTATGTCATCCGGATCTTCCCAAGTTGTACGTTGTACTGTTGAGATACCGAATTCAAATAAATCAATACCATACCATACCAAATGTTCCGGAGTACGGAGCCTACATGTACATGTATGTGTTTGCCTTCATTACCTAGGTTACGATCGAAAACACGTCATAATCCCGCGCTATACCTTTTTATTTGAAAATTTGTATCGAAATCAGAACTCTCCGCGAAAAGTCGATATTTCTCGTACCAAATTTGTACTCGAAAAATCTTTCTGCACTTGATGACGCAACATCTCCACACGAAACAAGGTTCGTATGAAAGCCAGTCCACACGGATTCTCAGTGGCGAAAAATTGAATCAAGTACGCTTCGAAAACATCCGTAGAGCCCATTTTGGCACGGAAAATCGTACCCCGGAACCTCTCTATTAACCCCCACTAATTCCTGTCAAGTGTCATGTTGTTTTCTCTCCAATTGAAAAAGAAAAAGGTTGAAGAGAAGAAGGAAGTTTGAGCAGGAATCGAACCTGCAACCATAAGATTCCAAAGCACCTATCTTCACCACCCAGCCACCAGGGTGTCAATGCAGAATTTGGTTAAAAATGGGTCTTAGGTCTGGAACACGCAATGCTGCTTGCACCATGTGTAGGCACTGCTATTTTAAAAGAGTTATATACTCTTTTTTTACATGCTCTTGATAATAGTATACTATAGTATATCCGGAATACTAAAATAGCTATTTCGGGCCAGTATTTCAGGACAAAACAAAGCTAGGTGTAGTATCCCTGCCCGACCAATACGGAAGTAGTACGGAACTAATACGGAGCTTTGCCTGATGTATATTTAGTGTATCTCCGTATGTAAGCGTACGGCGTCTGCTGCATAAAAGCGGCTGCGCATTTCTGTTTTGATTAGATTAGATAGCAACGAAAGCTAACTCGAAGAAGAAGTAGTCAACCTCTAGGTGAGCACCGGCGAGAAAGTTATTTATTTTGCCGCTTCTTCTTTCACTAATAATTATATCTCAGGTGTGTACCTGAAAGAAGTAGAATAAAACTAATTCTTGTTAATTGCACCGCGCCTACCACTCGGCTACCCATTACATAGGTATAAATAGAATATACACATCTGTCTTGTGTTTGTGTAGAGCCGAAAAATTTATTGCAATTACATACCAGTATAAACGCTGAGGTCCCCCGAGGTAACTTGCATACTTGTGGCTGGGTGAGCCCGTGTTGCTTCATCTCCAGAACCATCTCAGATCTCCGGCCTGCCTGCTCATCTTCTCACTCCTCAGAGTCGGTTACATCAATGGTGCCTTTTTGAATTTCATGTGTTGGTGCGCCAGATTTCGGCACAAGCCAACCCGTTTGTCTGTGGGTCCCCGGCCTTGGGCAACGTAGTCAAAGAGCTCTCATCTCAGGCAGTGACTCAGGGTGCCGCCATTCGCAACAAACAAATACTGTTGAAGACCACTTCTCAAAACAAGCGCGAGTGCACACGAATTTTTCTTGGTGCGAAAAACATGCAAAACACGAATTTCACGCGAACGTTCGCAATAGTTTTCGCAACCCGGAACGCGAAAATCATTGCGGACGTTCGCTGTGCAAAACCTCTCCAATACCATGGTAATCCCTCACGATGAAAGGATCGTGTGTAAGATTAACCATTTTCCAAGTATTGTTTAGTCTGAAAAGCGGACACTTCACACACGACGTACTTACTGCAAGAAGGAGTTGTTGCGCAAGTACGCCTTACTCCAGAACAGCTGTAGAAATGGCTGCGCCGCATGCCTTGAATGGACGAATAGAACCGAATCGATGATGAGGCAACTTCTGTTAGCCGGCCTAGGCCCAAATGGCCGTACGACGACATCTGCTCCAGTGGCCGTGGCGAAACGGGCATCAGATCCTTCGTTGTACTCAAATCTGGAGTCGTATATTCCGATTTGACGATCCACAAATGGCATGCGGTGTTCAATTTTCATGCGGTGTTCAATTATCAACCCGGCCGTGTATTTTTTCAATCCATTGTTGAAACGAAGACTACTTCCATCTACACATGTCTGTAGAAATGCAGTGTTCAGGAAGCTCTCCTCATACGAACTGTTCTCAAATGTGCAGTGAGACAGAACAAGTCGACTGGCAGCCCTGTAAGATCCACGCAATTCCAAGACTGAACGTGGAGCGCTGAAACCTCGAAATGTGCTGTTATGTATTGTGGCGTGTAGCTGGAAGAAGGATGTGTTAGCAGAAAGCACAAATGCGCCTGTGTGGGAGTCTGCCTGCGAGCGGAATGTAGAATGTTCTATGCGAACAGTAACCGATGTGTATGGCGTTCCTAATACTTTAACCTTGTTTGTTGTAGAATTGAAATCTATCAGAGCCATGGCGTAAAATGAATTGCCGTTCAAAACGAAATGACAAGAACTCAGAAGTACGGTGACTTGCGTTTTGCTGCTGATTCCAGAGACAAACAGGAAGTTCTGTAGTTTGAAGTTGCACTTCACGAATGTAAGCTGCAATTTTCGGTTGCTATTGGGCTGTTGTGAATATAAGCTAAGAAAATCGGTCATCGCTCTCCCGTTGTCGTGTATGTAGACATTTTCAATGAATAGACTCATCTTCTTCCACTTTGACAAAGAGTCTGTACTGAACTGAAGGAAATATGCTGTTTCGTTGTCTATATGAATAGTGGCATGAGTGCAGCCATTGGAAGGGTCGAACAATATTGAAATACTAACAGCAAATCCGGGGATGGAAAGAAAATGAAGGCGGCTTTCATGTCCCGATCGAACTTCACATCCAGTATTGTTGTACACGATTAACTTGATCACTGTATGTTTATTAGGCTGCATACCGGATTCCCTGAGTGCTTGATGAATAGTAGAGCACGCTGTTCTTACACTGTGTCCGCATCCTGTCGACTGACTTCTATCACCCGCAGTACGATTGCCACGGCTAACGTCAGAGTACCGATGTAGTCGACCATCTTCATCGTAGGAACGGGCGTACAGGATCACGTCTGACTCATACACGTTTGGACGAACCAGGGGAGAAGATTTTGATAAATTTCCTGACCTGCATTGGCGTAAGAACGGAGTATTCTCTGGTGGATTAAGACTTGCAGAGGCGATGACCACCACGGTAGCTACCACTGTCAGGACACTGCGCCACCGTTCCGCCCAACCAGCCATGCTGGCGTTAGACTACGACAGACAGACAAGCAACAAATCCGCTGATGCTTTGAGAGTTCCAAAACACGAAATGAAGGTAATAACGTATTCCACTGAGTGCAGTTACTCATCATAATACACTTTCGACATCATCACAGAGTGAGTACAGAGAGTTGTTCTCCAAGGAATGAGCGGGGACAGGTGGGTAACAGTTGCATCAGCGCACCCTTTTCGTTCATCAACGTTCATCCTGGAATCTTGCTGACGCTAGCACGTACATTCACATACAATGTACATGTAAGACATAGAGGTGTGCTAACCGACTTGATACACAAAGTTCACAATCGCACACGCCCACACTCGCGCGCTCAAGCGCAAGAAAATTGCGACCAGGAAGTGAGTACGACTCGTACACTCATGTCACAAAATCAAGAATTTCGACTACCGCCAGACGTATGGCTGCTCTTGGAAGAGGATAAATGCTGGCGAAATAGACAATCCATGCCCCTTGCTTTGAGACCGTGCGTGTTTTGCACGTGCCACTTTATCAAAAATTCAAATTTAAAGTACCGGATCAGTTCATGATCGGCACCTTTGCACTTCCTGCAGATAGTATGGTGTGACCACCTACCCTGCTCAGCTGTTCCATAATTATGGATCGAGTATTATGGCTCACCTCACCAAGCCTCTTTTTGTCATGTGCTCCACCTCTTCGCTATTGTACCTATTCTCATACAAGAATGACCTAGGATGGAGAGCCAAGGATTATTAAAAAAAAGTAAAAAGGACCAAGGAACTGCAAGTTATAATGTCCACTAACACCACCAGTTACGAAACAATCAGCTCATGCGATAAAATTGCACGACACTGACCGACGGTGCTGACTTTCTACGACTAACTGGCTAACAGCTCTGGCCCATCTTGGATGCGCTCTACAACAGCCTTCCAACTTGGAAGGTTCTAAGTTAAAGAAATAACACAAGGTCTATTCTCATACAGTAATACAAAGATTACACAGCAATTAAGCAAACAAATCTCTTTCCGCTGTTACTCGGAGTTTCATGTGAAAACACTCATCAGACAGCATAGTGTTCTCACACGAAACTACGAGTAACAGCGGAAAGAGATTTGTTTGCTTCATTTCTGTGCAATCATTGTATCACTGGTTCTGTCCACTGGACATAGAGCACTGTACGCAGTCTGAGGAACTAACTAAGACAACTGTCTATTCTCATACAGGTGTACGGGTCATGACTAGTGTTCAACACCAGCCCGCCCTCGTAGGCAGTCTGACGACCAGGCGTGCTGGAAGCCTGCATCTTGGACCTAAGGCGTTTTCTGAAACACGTTTAGCTCGTAGTGCGTTCATTAGGCATGTCCAGCTGACGCCGGGTGATGTTTTCAAAAGTACGTGCAATATGTATACAGTGCATTCGCAAATGCACACTAAGCATGGCACCAGGTTGGCCATTACGCCCGTGTCAAGGACTTAGGGAACTAGGAATAGGATATCGAATGCTGGTATGGCGGGGAGTAAGCGCAACAGCTAATGGGCACTATGCATACAGTGTGAGTCGCTGGTGGATCGTTGTGCCGTACCCTTGCAAAAGCATCCCAACTGGTGATATGCATGTACATGTAATCACATCACTTCTGTACGAAACAAACTAGTAAGTTAACTCCATGCGTTAGCATACCAAGGCCCGATCGCGCAACTGAAATCCAGACCTGGGGCATGCAGGATCCCTGTTGGCTGGGGCAGGGCAGACGTTATTAAAAATATGTGCACCTCAATGGCAAACATGTATGCCAAAGAGCAGCGAAAACTAAATCCAATTACAGCCGAAGGAAGTGCTGCAACCTACCAGGATAACCTTTGTCGTTTCCTGTGCCTCCTAGTCTAACTTGGTATTTTACTTCCTTCAAACCAACGCACACGCCCTCGCTTACACCCGCTTCCATCGGCGCAAATAAGTACTGTGGATGTCATTTGTTTCGTGCACTGAAACCACATGTGAAATGGTATTCACAATGAGAGATAATAATTTGATAACTGCAATCAAGAAGACAAGCTGAACAGTGCCTTTTCTGTTTGCGTTATGCAGAGCTCACTGACTTGTCACTCAAGTTGAGCACTCTGGCAAGGTACGTTCGGGCCTGGTTTAAATCTGGCTTTGGAAATGTGTATTTTTTCATTGCTATCAGGTTCGGCCTCTTTTTCTCTGTGCTGCGCTGATGAGTCCACAAAGGGCGAAACAGTTCTGTCCGCAGATTGAGTAATGTTTGGCTCATATAACAGTCTGAAGACCAGGTATTATAGTATGAGGCGCCGATAAAAAAATTCCCGGTTCGCGTTAGTAGTAGTATTTATTTAACATCGAACAACTCAACAGTGTTCAAATTCAAAGAGCGCCGATGAGGCAAAAAAGAAAAAATAAATGGTAAAAGATGAGGCTATATAATGTGAAGACCCAGTAAAGGTAAAGAAAGATAATGAAGAACACACGTGGAGTTAGCTGGAAGCCGAGGTTTTCTGAATCCTCAGGGACACCACCACCCTCTGTGGATCAATGCCGAGAAAGTATGTGCATAATCAGAGTATCTCCACCTGCCCACTTCTGCTAGTATCGTGTGACACAGATGCCACACTGTTGGCTGGTGTCTGTGTTCGCACAATATTGGCACAATGCATCGGCCAACTCTGTGCCCAAAGGTGACGATTACGATACAAACCTCTTCTACAGGAAACATGAATAAACGTGGACCATGGCTTAGCAGTACACAAAAAAATGTACGTAACATCATCCTAACCCTAATCAACGTTATGCATAAAAAAGTAAATTATCGTATCCGTTCCCGAAGGGAACTCACGACGGCCGCTAACACCCGGTAAACCCTAGCGGCAGATGCATAGCCTAACGGTGGGGGTGAGTGGGTAAGTCTCACAACCACTGGCACAAGTGCCGAAAGCGACCCCATTAGCTGCATCCATGTACCCCTTGTGCCTGGCCACAAGTTCCCAGTTGACTGTGGGTAGCAGCACGGCTGGAAAAACCGCTCCCAGGCAGGACTTGAACCAGGTACCTCTCGTATCTCAATCATGGTCTTTGACCAACCCACTGTGCCTGCCTGGTTATGCATAGGTGTACGAAATTCACGGCTCGCGTGAGACTCGGCTGGGAGCCGAGTTTTCCGCAACCGCAGGACCGCCACCACCCTCTATGTTCAAGGCGCAGATGCAGCTCCAAAGCTGCGAGGAATACATGTCCATTGCGAAGTATATGTACAGTATTTGCAAAGTAGACGACATGAGCGTCATGGGAGAAATTCAGTGACGCTAGAACCACAATTTACCATCGAAAAGCACCCCAAAACTAGAAAAAAATCCCCGAAAGACTGCATACTACTAGTAACTACGGAGTGTTGCTTTCTTGCAGGTTTTCTGAGTAGAATGTTCGATGGATTTCTTGTGTGCTTTGGATGGCAATCGTGAGGCAGTCTTGTGTCTAATCAAGTTCGCGAGAAAATCGGAAGCTCCAGTGTGGGTTGCAATCAACTTTTCAATGACTTAATTAAAATATTTCCGCCGAAGTCGCTACTAATATTTCGTACTGTTGGGTCGGCGATGGCTTTCTGGTAGCTGGTTTGGAGTTGACAGCGTTGCGAATGACTGAGGCTCCCCGACGCCCCGATGTTCTTCCTGTATGTTTGCATGTCTTCTTCTCTTTTTTTGGTGCGTTTTATGTCCCAACACGTCGGGAAGGCAGGTCGGCTGAGGGAAAAAAGTCTCACCATCACCATGATCCCATATGCAATTTTATTGTCTTTGCCTCTGAGCTGTGATCATTGTAACAATAAGGATTAAAAAATATTTCCACAGATCAGAATTCTGTCGTACTGGAATATGTTCGTCTACAGTATGAGCAATCTAATCACAAGATTATAATCTATTGCCGGGCAGCAATATCTCTTCTGTACGAAATGACAGTTGACAGCTCTGATCGCGTGATTTGCAAGTCACCTGACAGAGCAATGATCGAACCTCCTTCTTTTTTCCTCGCATTCATTCTCACCGTTGCGCTAGACCTACACAAGCCAGCCAGGAGTTCTGTGTGCTAAATAATCGGGATAGGGAGAGCCTTGATCATCTAGTTCCGTTGGGGAGGAATCATTCTGGTATATCGTAGGCTACGAGCAGTCTGTGCATTGTTTTCCGCCGCTTTTCGGTTTGCTATAAGTACTTTCGTACACCCGATCAAAACCCGCTGGACTATCTAAGTCTCAATGGATTCTCACCTGAAATTCGTGATGGTGTTTGCTCTGGCTGCAGTGCTCAGCAACGCCAACGCTCGTCCTACCCGCCCATTTCAGGTACAATGTACCATACATTGTATTGTTTCATTCACAAAAATTTAAAAGAGATGTTTAATATTTTAATTATACCATACAACAGATGAGAGTCCTCCAGTTCGGTAGAGTACTCAATATTCATTCGAATAGAGCTATATTACACACGACAAGTTGTCTGATGATTATGGACATGAAACTATAAGCACACACTTACTGGCCTTAGTACCTAGAGTACCAGACGTCCTGTTTGATGATCAGCTGGCTTAGTTTTTCTCCACCTCTATCCTAATTACATCAGTCCCCAATTTCATTTATTACTGCTTTCTATCTGCATTCGCCACCTTTTCATTGGGCAGATCTGCCCGTTTGGTTTGCGAATTAAAATAAACACAACACACAACACACAGTTACAACGAATGATGCGTGGTGCTCTGTGTCGCGTGTAAATAGGCCATAGTAATGGCACGACAGCACATCAGAACATATTGCAGAGTATGCACACGAGTACATCGAAATAGACCAATCCTGTCGGCTGTGGGTATGCACCTGTAACTACACCGAAATTAGCTACAATACCAGTGTTCCGAACAGGACCATGATTTTTATGTTACTTTCTACCGGTGGATGTACCCAGCGTGGCTCTATGTTTCAGGGCTATAGGTGTTATTTTAGGCAGGAGGCTGTGTGCAGAGTGTGTGGTTGTTTAAGGCAAGGGGCTAGCAGTGCAATGTTAGCGCAGAATGTGTGGCTATGTTGTTTTCTGCTATGAACACAGCCCTACTGGATAACAGGTTTTCTTCAGTTCCAGACCGTTTGAGTACTTTTTCTTTCTTCTTGCCTTTCCTCTAGGGTGCGGATCCGTGCGGCGAGCCTCCATCACCAAATCGCACTTCGTTACGCCAGTATCTGGTCATCGGTGATTCGATCAGCATTGGATACACACCCCATCTAGTCCCTCACATCAACACAACGTTTGAAGTACAGCACATCCATATCAACGGTGGAAACTCGGACCGCGGCAAAACGTAAATATATTTTCTGTGCAATCCGTGCAGAGGTAAATGCCATGCCATTCTTACATTCAAGGATGTCGTTGATTTATTCTCGTGAAGAGCAAAGTCAATATGAGGGATGACGATGACGTTGCAGAAACTCTCGAACGCCATTCTGAGCTTTTGTGAGCGAGAAATCCGAATGACAATGCGAGTCATCCTCTCAATACGCTTCTCTTTTAACGTAGCGCACACTTTCTTATACAGTGACATGCATAAATCAAACCACTGCATGCCTTTGAAAGAAAGAAACCCAGATAGAAAATAATTTGATTACCACACTTGGAGCTACCCTGGTGAGACCGAACACGTTCTAACCATCAAGCCGTTCGGAGATTGCATGTTACGCGCTCCCTCTCCTCGACACGGTTGAGCAATCTTTCTGAGTAGCATAGAAGTCCCTTGCTCTCATGATAAGTTCTCTGCGTTTCTCACTCTGAATCATCACCCTGACCTTGATGCTTTGACGCTCACTGGTCTTCGTCGCGATCGGTTCGTCCAGGTACTCTGAGCTCCGCTGATGAGAACAAAGAAGGTGTAAACAGCTAACGTTAGCTCTTCGAATATCCACTGTGACGAGACTTCATCATATCGGTACACAGTTATACGGTGTGTTATAGACGACGTGAACTGCAAGAATTTCTGGATTTATAGCCACATCACGCTCTCATGCTATCAAAATAGTGAATTGATTGCTCTGTGCCTTTCTCATAATGTAGGTGTCTGACTCACTGGCTGGGCGAGAATCACTGGGACTTCATCAGCTACAACTTCGGCTTGCACGACATCGCCCATGACGCTGAGCAGCTCACTCTCCAGCAGTACACTGAGAACATGGTGAACATCACAGAGAGACTGAACAATACAGGTACAGGTGAACGCCAGCTTCCATTAGATGGGAAAATCAGTGGTATTTCGATCCAGTCCGCTGGACGCCAATATTCATTGTCCTTCAAATATAGGGGCAGTAATATGAACACACGCAGAAGCACACACACACAAACACACACACACACAGTCACGAACATACAAAAAACATTCAATACCAGGAACAATGCCATGCTGGTGTTTCCCCGCGTTCTAACTACATTAGGAAACCATTCAATACTTCAGCAGCCTTTAGATGTACATGTATCCCAAATTCAACCACTAGGATACACCTGCATGCAAACATTCTCTTTGTCAGCACTATCACCCGTACACACACTACACTGACAGCATGCTAGCTAGCTTCCTGACTACTAGTATGGGGCCTCGACCTGTTGGCGATGCAGAGACTAGAATAGGCACTACTCTTCCGGTTTGGTATCAATTCCCTTTCATTTGTTCTATCCTTGCCTTACTGTGTATGATCAGGCTTGGCACACTAGATATCGTGGACAGGCCTAGAGCATCCAGGCTGTAGAATACAATCAACAAATAATTAATATAAAAAGGGATAATGTAGGCTGAATACAGCATCCTGCCAAACCAAGCGTGTCTGCTCTTCTTTCATGACTGCCAGGTGCAAAGCTGCTATGGGTCGACACCACTCCCGTTCCGAATGTAGCTGTCTCGCCTGAACGACATGACAGTGACGTGAAGGCCTTCAATGCTGCTGTTGCCTCTGTAAGTGACCTTGGTGTGTGTGTGTGTGCGTGTGTGTGCGCGCGTGTGTGTGTGTGAGTCTACCAGTATGTGTGTATATGTGTGTGTGTGTGTGCTTGTGAAAAGACCAAAAATAGGGATTCACTGGCCAGAAAATGTCACTCCAAATAGCTGTATGGTGTAGACCAGGCTGAACAGTGACGGTCAGTTCTTCAGCCTTGCAAGCTGTTGAATGGTGCAATCCCAGCACAAGTTGCTATGGCTTCTGCCGTAGCATTGCTATCAACGCCTCCGGCGATGGGCGTCAAAGGTCAAAGGTGTGCTTGTGTGTGTATGCGTGCAATGAATGCATTTTGTGCTTGTATTCGTATGCGTGCGCGCGTGTGTGCATGATTCATTCAAGTTGCGCTTACGTATATTCCAGCTGAATGCTCTCGCTGATCACCTTTGAGAGCCAGTGTATGTTTAATGAAATGCTTTCGTCTTCCTGTTGCAGATCCTCAGTAAGTACCAAATTCCCACGGACGATCTGTATGGATGGGTGGAGAAGAAATGCGGCGATGGTTACAGTTCCTGCCCGGGCATTCAGCTTCCGAAAAATGTTCACTACACGCCAGCAGGCTACGACTATCTCGTAGAAAGTCTTCTCGTCTCAATCCACACGATCTTTCCACCACCACCACCCCCGCCGAGGCATTGAGCCATCGAGATATTTTCCACCGGTTTGTGTCTTTATGTTCGTATAACGTGTGCACAAGCCTGATCGAACTAGATAACATGTTTTCCAGCATTTTTGTTCCCTGAACGTTGTTTTTAGTACTCTTTACGGGCATTCCCAATATCCTATTATGATGTTTTCATGTGACATTCACAGAATGACATTATTCTCTCACTGTCTTCTCACCAACATCATTTATCGTATTCGGCTTGGAGAAACGTGCCAGCATCTTACACGACACATTCTTAGTTTGACATGGGGATTCTCACTCTCCGTATAGCGTGAATTGAACCCGGTAGGCCTGCAGTAGTTTACTAAAGTCTTACATTCCCCAACACCCCTCACAAGTGCTGGTACTAGTACTCTCCACACATACACACATTTATTCCACATATTGTTTTCCTTCGCACTCTTCTCGTCACCTTCCTACAGCACCTCACGGCATATCTACTCAATGTGGGCTTTTTTCTTTCACTTTGTTTTAAAAGTGTTACGCTTCACCCTAACGATGGGCAAGATGGGACAATTTAGTGAATCTTACCAGTTGTATACAGGAAAGAGATAATGTTTGACAGGGAAAGATTACATAGCTGCTATGGTGTCGGCGTGTATTTATTTAAAACACTCTTCCAATAGGAAATAGTGGCAGCGACCTCGGTGAAATTTGTATAAAGAAGTAAAGTTGTCTGCGCCCACTCTGGAGGTCGCGCTTTTCCCGCCGACTTAACTTCGATGCCAACCGCTGAACAATAATATTTATGAAATTGCGAGCTTGCCACTAGTTCGGGTGGATGTGACAGCGTTGAGAAACACGAAACACTGTGTATTGAGCAGGGAATGGAATGATGCTTTCTTGAAAGTTTGCCCAGTGGAAGGTTCGGTAGGCTTCTGGTGTGCTGTGGATGGCAGTCGTAAGTCAGTCAAGTGTTGGTCAAGTCAGGTCGGCGGGAAAAGAATGATCTCCAGTGTGTGGGCAAGCAACTGCCCTGGTCTTACATTAGTTGGAAATATTATATCGAACGCCTACACCTACCCGATGATCAGCAAGGCATACCGAAGTCTTTTATAGCTTACAGGCCGTGTACCAACATGTACCGTTAGGGCCCGGTCACACATGCACTCGAAAGTAGCGTATACGCTGAAGCGAGGTCGCAGGAGCGAAAAATGGCATGGCAACGGCGAAAAGCGGAACTTCCGCTTCAGCGGAAACTCCAATCCGCTTCCTCCAAAATTTTCGAAGCGAGACTGTCGCTTCTGCGGATTCGCTTCAGCGGAAAACACCACGGTCTGCTGTATATGGACTTGCTACGAGAAATTTGTATGCGTATGATGTCCATGAAACAAAAATGCATGCAAGATAGTCATTGACCTCGTCAATTCTCCGTACCGTATGCACCACAGTCCACTTTACTCTCATTTTCCGCCAAAGTAGGAGTTGTGCCCTGTTTGTATGTGTGACCATACACACGTGGTTTCGCTGGAGCGACACCAGGCTCGCTGCCGCCGAACCTCGTCGCCGAAGCGAATCCCAGTGCATGTGTGACCGCGCCCTAAAGTACCGCCAGAGCGCCCCGTCTCGCGAGAGCGCCCCACCTTGATTTTACAGCCAGAGAAAGGAAAATCGTATGGCAGAGTGCAACGAAGTGTGTACGATGTGAGAATCTTAGTGTACTAAGGTCACACTTGGCAGGTTTTTGTGTGGAGCTTGTATCCGCTTGAAGGTACGGATTGACTGCAAAACGTGCAATCTGTGTACAAGGTTCATGTCGTATGACCTACAGACAGCAGACCACCTCCACAATACGACCACGAAAGGATGAGATGGTGGGGCGCTCTGGCGGTACTTTACGGTACTAGTGTACGCTAACCTGAATATGAGCAAGCACACGAATACGTATTCAAATACACGCACCGATCCACAGAAATCCATGCGCATGAACGCAGACACGCATTTATGTTGTTGTTCGGCGCACTGGTGAGAAAAGGATTTTTGTCTGTGTATGTACATGTATGCGTGCGAACTCAACACCTAAAACACATCAATAGCAGGAAGGACGGTACATCATCGTTAGCATAGTGACGCAAACCAAATTTGCTGGTTTAGTAGGTACATATGTTCACATTGCAGTGAGTGCAGGACTGTTCCGAGGTTGAACAGGGGATCGTTTACCCTAGTTACTTGTACGTGCTCTTCCACCTTGCTTTTATCTTTTACAAACAAAAAAAAATGTTTATATGCCGCTCTGTTACGCTGGAAAACAACACTTTGCAATCTCAACAACATACCATCTCAAGTTGCAGCCCCGATATGCCAACCATTCAAACAGCCCTCTAACGCACTATCACTCAGTGATTGTTCGTAAGCCGTGAGTCCATTCCCTCCCTTCGTTCCCTTTTCATCACCCCTTAGGCCCCCTTGTATCTTACAACTTGAAGAAAAGCGAGAAAAAATCTTGCTTTTCGAACGCTTGATCAAGAAACAACCTAATAAGACTGGTTAACTAGTTGGAAATACGATTATAAACAAACAAACCTTTCTTGTATCCATTTTGAAGCAAGAATGGACTCGGATGGAGAGCCAAGGATAAATTTATAGTAAAGAAAAAAGGACCAGGAAGCTACAAGTTACACTATAATGTCCACTAACACCACCAGTTACTGAACAATCAGCTCATGCGATAACATTGCAAGACACTGACCGACGGTACTGATGTTGTAAAACTAACTGACTGACAGCTCTAGCATTATAGTGTAATTTGTAGTTTATTGGTCCTTTTTTCTTTCCTATCGTTAGGCATTTGTGGTAAATTGGATCACATTATTACTTAATGTACAGATCAATAAGAGCTCATAAAAGGACCCCAACAGTCCAATATCTACGTCATCAGGTCCTACACGGAATGATGCCAAATCCCTATATTTCGGATACTCCTCGATGCCAGCCAGGTATCTGGCAAATATCCGATTTTCGTCCGGCTGCCCGGATAATGATAGAGTTAACATGAATGCAATGAAACTCTCTTTCCGGTGTCGTTTGTGGTACGTGTGGTCTCCGTTTGTGAAACGAATGGAGCCGCTATCAAATGGAAGCAGAACGTGCTTCACTAGTGATCTAGAACTGTACTGAAGGTCTCCTAAAACTAGCCTATAATTATTATGCGGGCTAATCGCAAGGTTGCATGTTGCTCTCCAGTGGTGTACACCGCCCGTTTGGGTCTGCCAATTCAAATAAGAACATACCTACCTACCTACAGAACCACTGAGTTCATTCCCAATCGCTCAGTGAGGTGCGCACACCAACATATACGCTTCGTACGATGTGCACAAAGAAGAGAGACCAGAACCGTTCTCTTTGACAGTGGATGCGTGGAAACATTGTTCTGTCGGATTCATCTGTCCCATATTCAAACAGGGAGGAGGATGAAGGAGTCAACCTGCCTCACGATACTTTTCGTTGTGTTGGTTGTTCCATATCTGCTCTACCCAGCAGGTAAGATAATTGTAAAGACAGATACGTTGCGCAGATGTGTCGTTACTTCTTGAGCTACAAGCACTTGCCTAAGAGATCAATAGCGGTAGATACTTCGAGTCGTATCATACGCTGCCGCCAATCCACAAGCGGCGGTTGACTGTTGGTGCTTCAATAATATATCGTTTGTAGATAGCTTATGCTAGATGTTGATCGGCAACCAATCTTTCCTCTTGGTTATCCAAAGCAAGTCCTGCCTGTATGTTTAGCAAGTTGCGCGAATTTCAAGTGAACGCTGCATCTGATGCGCGTATCAGCATCCTTCTAGTCACGTCTACACAAAAGGGCTTCGGTCCTCGATTCTAGCAATTTCGTATCCTCTTTTTCTCCTACTGAAGTACCCTCCATTCTATCGAGCCTGGTGCACCCAGCTGGCAATGACAGCGTGACATATGGTCGGACGAGCTTGTCGGATTGCACCACGACTGCTGTCGTGCTGCCGACTTCATATCCATATCTGGAGGTTTTGTATTTTGGTTCTGCCTCATTTTCTCTGCGCTGAGCTCATGAGGCCACAAAGTACAAGACATTTTTGTCCGCAGATCGAGTATTTCGCTCCTGCTCTTGTAGCAGCTGAGCACTGTCATGGACGAGACAGTTCTGTGCGCAATATAATACGAATGAAGGGGCAACCTGTGTTTAGCGACCACTGTGATCAGGGACCACCATCTGTCTTGAGACCATGATGCAACCTACGGTCTTATGGAACCGCTGATCCACTATTACATTCACGTATGCCCACGGACTCGCGCACTTGCCACTGATATTATACACTATACGAGCTCTCGTAGGTCCACTCAGCATAGTTTGAGAACGGTATTACGTGTGTTGATGCGTCCGACTTACTCACCTCACACAGAAGAGTTACCTCTGCCTCCACCCCCCCCCCCCTCCCTAACCCCAGGCTTTATTCTTGGCTTCAGAGTGGTGGCCCTCCTGCGGATGCAGGGCGTTCGGTCTGACTGGGCCTCATGCGAACTGTGAAATCAATTTTCTTTTTCACTTGCCAGCATTCTGACTATACTGGGGGCATCGTTCATGTCTTACTTTATGCGGATGGTTTAACGAAGTGGGAAATGGGCCGTTTCAAGGCAATGCGATCCAGCCCTCTGAGCTGAAAAGTCCTACAGAACCGCGGTGCTCAGATCAATCAAACATTTCTTTCCTAACTTAGAAGTATTGTCTTGGGCTATAGTGCATGACGAAGGTGGTTGTTCCTACTTCGAGCTCGCGCTTCCTGCTGTACTAGCTGCCTCTCGACTAATTTCATTGACTGTATCTTCCATTTCCTAACTACTACTTCATTACAAATGATTGATTTTGCATTTATCTAAAACTAGAATAGCACATGGCTCATTTGCAGTGCGATGAGAAAAGAAGCGCATGGAAATTAGAACAATAGATAACAAATTCACCACCTGACCGGAAGTTGCAACTCCATCCGCATTCTGATGTCGGGTACTCATATGGATTGCACATTGAACATGTGTTGGATAGTCCGACACCAACATAGTGACAAGAAGGTTCGCAGCATTGCACTAAAGCAGCAAAACTAGGCGCAGTGAAGCTGCGGCTGCTCTCGAAGTGCGAAGGCAGTCAAAGGTCTAAACTCCTGCTAGATATTACCTACAGAATACCTGTGCTATGCCTCATCCATCGCACTGACCACACCGGCCATGCTAGGTTTAATATCATTATTCTCGCATCCGTCCCAAATGGAGATCTAATGATGGAGCTATTAGACGTTATTCTATATCCTTTGTGCCCGTAATTTCTGCAGGGGCCATCGACGACTGTACGTCTATTTTATCGCCGACTGCCCAGTCATTTGCAAGTGCCTCCAATGTGTCGAATCAGCTTATAACGTTAAAGAAATCACACCTGTACGCTCTTGACAGCCCTGAATTGGACTTTCGCCATGGTTGCAGTGTTCAGTTCACGTCTTTGACCCTGTACATCAAGGGCAACTGCTCTCTTAATCTGCAAGGATTCGTCAAAACGTACCCAGGATTCACACTGACCATGGCTTCGATGAGTTTGGAACACACGTCAGAGTATCTCGTCAAGCGGACGTTCGATCTGCGAAACCTTCAGCTGGATATGTGCACGTGCGCGGCGGTCACTTCGGGCACAATTGTTTCGTTGTACCTTTTAAACAGTTCCCCACAACTGTGCAACATTAGCGCAAGCAGCAGTACCCTCTCAACACTCCCTTTGAAGATCATATCGGATCCCGTTATGTGCAGGCCAGCCACAGCATACTTGACGGGTTACGTTCGCCTGCCATGGTACACCCTAGTCGTGGAAGGTAAGAGTTCTTCAATAGTAAATATTCAGTTGGGTTTTAATATATTGCTTGAGAATAGTTCCCGGTCGTGTGTAACTGTCAAGGGGTTACACTCCCGGTCGTGTGTAACTGTCAAGGGGTTACACTCCCGGTCTTGTGTAACTGTCAAGGGGTTACACTCCCGGTCGTGTGGAACTGTCAAGGGGTTACACTCCCGGTCGTGTGTAACTGTCAGGGGGTTACACTCCCGGTCGTGTGTAACTGTCAAGGGGTTACACTCCCGGTCATGTGTAACTGTCAAGGGGTTACACTCCCGGTCGTGTGTAACTGTCAAGGGGTTACACTCCCGGTCGTGTGTAACTGTCAAGGGGTTACACTCCCGGTCGTGTGTAACTGTCAAGGGGTTACACTCCCGGTCGTGTGTAACTGTCAAGGGGTTACACTCCCGGTCTTGTGTAACTGTCAAGGGGTTACACTCCCGGTCGTGTGGAACTGTCAAGGGGTTACACTCCCGGTCGTGTGTAACTGTCAAGGGGTTACACTCCCGGTCGTGTGTAACTGTCAAGGGGTTACACTCCCGGTCGTGTGTAACTGTCAAGGGGTTACACTCCCGGTCGTGTGTAACTGTCAAGGGGTTACACTTTTCGTTGGTTAACATTATGTTCTGCAGGTTCCGTATTTTGGTTCATTGGTCGGCTGGTTGGTTTTAGGAATTGTGTGTGGCTCTCTACTTGCGCTATTCCTGCCGACATCATTATAGTTTATTTTAATTTGCACTACATACGGGAACTAGGCCCAATGATATACAGGCGAAAGGACAGGACGCATTGAGAAAGAAAGGAAAGGAATTTTGTTGAGTGCTGTATGAGAATCGAGTATTCTGTTGCTGTTTTTCTGCACCTTCTTACCACAGTCGGAGATCCATGCAGAAGAGAGAACAGACAGATCTGCTCCCCCGGCTGCCAAACTCAGTACAGCCAGTGCCCCATGCAGGCCAAGAGCGGCGCCACATTTTCGTGTGCTAAACGAACGTGTAACAGAACACTGCCTGAGCCTTCCAACCCACCGCATACACAAAACAACTCATGCCTAGCAATGTCTTCAGTGACCTCATCGATTGCAGAAGTGAATACTCCAATGCCGTCATGGCGAACCAGCGCAATCACTGATGTCCAGGAGGGCAGTCGACAGGGCAGCACAACCCCGACTGTGGCCGGTAGGAGTCGTATCAACGGATCCACAAGAGCCTCGGCTCCTACAGTGCCATCGCATATGCATTGGGGAACACCGGAGAGCGGATCACTTGCTCCAGACACTTCCACAACCAATCAAGGCACTAGCAGTACAAATGATGCCACGCCGCCGACACGGGCACCAGGCAGTGACATGATCTATCCCAGCGCAACTCCTCACACAGCATCACCGACAACTACGGAAGGCTTACAGGGCAGCAACCAGGCCACCGGCAAGTTACAAGACAAGGATCAAATCGAATTTTACTGCCTAATAGGGACCATTGCGATCCTTGGCTCTCTGCTATTGGTGTTTATATGTCTCTATGTAAAGCAGCGACGCCTGAACAGGAATGTAGTGTGCCATTCCCATCAGCTATCGGGAGAAACGGGCACAGTACATGCTAATACTGGCGACAATATCGAGACGAGTATGACTCGATTGCATCCTTCCTCTCCGACCAGCTGCCACAGCAATGCATCGCCAACCAATACTGCCAGGACCTGCGCTTCCAACGCTTACGAGGACGTGTGTCTTCCAGCTAAAAAGCCTTCTCTCCTCCAGTTACCTAATCTCAGTGGTATATGTAACCCGCGATACATCAGCTGGAGTGAACTAGGCGAAAGAGAACCCGATGCAGAGAGTGGCATAAGCAGCCATCCACAACCGGGCCAGACTGTGAAATCCGAATGTACCACGATTATACCACTGCCAACTGGTAACCCAACCTCAGCGATCTACGCACAGCCAGAACTGGATGCAAGTAAGCATGCGGAAAGCTGCTCAGACCAGTACATGTCTATGTCTCTGGCAAAGTGCGCGGCCGCTCAGGTAGGCAGTGGGCCGACGTTCCAGGGCACCATTAGCAACACCGACCCAGCAACGGCTGAGTCTGAAGAAACGTACACATGCATGGCTCGACTGAAGCCATCTCGCTGTCCAAGTGCTACTCCAGATAGCAAGCCGCTAGAAGATGTCTCACAACGTCCTGGTGAAAACCAGAGTGACACGCGTGAACAGATTGAAGCGCTTTACAGCCAACCTGATAAAAGCAGAAAGTCCGCATCAAGCGCATCACCGTCACATAACCAGAAAGCTCTGGCAGAAAATACTGCTCGAAACCCTCAAGACACATTTTACGTAACTTTGGTGGAAGGCAGTACTAACAACGGCTGAACGGAGGGCAGATTACGAAAATTGCTTCACATCTCTGTCTTTCTCTCACTCTTTATCTGTCTCTATCTCTTCCTTTGTTTCTCTCTCTGTATCTCTCTCTCTCTCCGTATCTCTCTGTCTCTCTCTCTCTCTGTCTTGCTCTGTCTCTCCCTGTGCCTCTTTGTGTCTATCGCTGTCTGTATGCCTCTGTCTCTGTCTCTGTCTCTGTTTCTCTCTCTCTCTCTCTCTCTCTCTCTCTCTCTGTCTTTGTATCTGTGTCTCTCTTTATATGTTTACCTCTGTTTGTCTCTGTCTCCGTCTTTTTCTATCTCTCTTTGTCTCTGTGCCTATGTGTCTCTCGTGCTTTGTCTCTGCCTCGCCCTGTCTCTGTCTGTCTCTCTATCTCTGTCTCTCTGTCTCTCTGTCTATCTCTCTCTGTGTGTCTCTCTGTGTCTCTGTGTCTCTCTCAATCTGTCTTTCCCTCCCTCCCTCCCTCCCTCCCTCTCTCTGTCTCTGTGTATCTCTCTTTCTCTTCTGTCTCTTTCTCTCTCTGTCTATCTGTCTCGCTCGGTCTATCTGTCTCTATCTGTCTCTCTCTGTCTCTCTCTTTCTCTCACTCTCTGTCTCTCTGTCTCTGTCTCTGTCTCTCTCTCCCTCTGTCTCTCGGTCTCTCTGTCTCTCTCATTCTCTCTCTCTCTCTCTCACTCTTGATCACACAAGCACATACACGCACACTAACACAACACACACACACACACACTCAACAGGTATTAGCTAGCTTGTCCTTTCAAAATATACACTGTTTCTGGAAGTGTTCATGCATGTTGTATTGTACCCAAGGCACATTACAATGTGTACCCTCTTGAGAGGATCCTGTGAGTTTGATTGCGGAACCAACCCTTCATAATTATAATTCATATTTTCATGTCATTTTATTAAAAACTTCTCGCTCACATACTTGATACTTGTTTTCGAAATAATAGTATCCGCCCTGTTCGATAACACTAACCAACTCCTTATGCTTTCCCTTGATCATACACGTTCGTCGACGTTTCATATGATCCTTTACTGTAGACCAAGGCTCACTCTTACGATACTGACCTCCAATTATGTCAACACCATTCCGGATTTCTTCTCAATAACCTGTGGCGGAGCACGTTTCACAAATAAATTATGTTAGGTGTGATTGGAACTGTTTTTGTCGCCTATGTTCTCATCTCTCCTCGCTTCGTTTTCGCTGCCTGTAACCTCAATTCTCTTTGTTTGCTTGTATCGATGAGGGAACATTATCTATTTTGCTGATATTCGTGGATTGCTTTGTTGCATGGGGTATGGGTACTCATTCGGCGGATGGGTGTGAATAATAATGTTCGAAGTAGGAGTATGTTGTAAATGAAAAGAAATCCCACGCATAATGTGTCACATGTCCCCTACCTTGAAGGAACAAGTGCATACGAACGCCATAGTTGCTCAGTCACTTGCTTTCACGTTCCGTCCCTATCATACTAAGATACTGTAAACCCTACTCACTAGAATTTCGCCCTCAGGGATGAAAAAATTCGCCCTCAGGAATATAAAATTCGCCCTCAGGGACGTAAAATTAGGACTAGAAGGCATTGATATGTAGGCAGTAAAGCTGCCACGAACGGGATATTGCGCAAAACCTCATACCGGTGCTGTATCTACAAGTATCGCCCAGAAGAAAAAATAGTTGCGTTCCTGTTAGGCTGTACTTGATTGCATACGTTATGAGGTACTGAAAAAAAGCTTATCAGAAAATTCGAAGTACATGTAGCTCTGATTTTAGTTCCCAACCAGTGAGATTGTTATCCTGGAGCTGTACAAATGTGCACGACCTTAGACACTGTGTGGGATCATGTTTGTATTGCATATACAGGCTAGTAAGGAGGCTATGGTTACCAGGGTTCCGTGGCATGTCGGTATCATGTAAGTCATGTCCACGGTATCAAGAGCATGTACAATCAACTGTCGTGGACATGGAAATCCGGTCGCACGTCTAGCAGCCCCAGGGTGCTGGCCGTGCAGCCGTGTGAAGCGGTACACACATGCATTATGCGCTCCAGCGCGCTGGTCCCATCGGATCAACATGATTGTGCACTGCATTCAAAGTAAGTTCTGTACGCGCTGAGGGTGCCGGCCCCTGTCATTCGACTGGATATCCATGTCCACGACAGTACATCTTCATGATTCCGTGCACATGTGCATGAAGCTGATATCTAGAACACTCAGACCTCTATTTTTAACCAGTACTGACCACAACAACTGTACATGTACACTGTATTGGCGTATTCTTGAGGGTGACATATACATGTACGGTTTGATGTTTTGAATCGATTTAGAGAATTCCTCTGTTGCTTCCCGGACTTTGCTATCAGTTCGCCATGTGACTCTGAGCGCCGCAGATGAGACCAAGCAAGCTGCAGCGCTTCACAGGGGAGAAGTTTCGCAACGCAGTCACACATGTCATGCACCCTTAGTCTTCACGGCTCCATCTAACTTGCACGATTTGTTTCACCTCAGCAGAAACACGACTCTATAAGGCAAGAGGCGTTGACTCCTTCAGTGACATACTGTTTCGATCACACAGATTTGCATCCATGTACGTTATGGAATATTCCCTGATTTGCATACACCTCTAGCCACGCGTCTTGTGACCAGACACCCACTGCAGACCCAACCGGTAACTGTGCAAAAATTCTAAGGTTAGAGTTGGCCTAGACGTCTCCTTCCGGGTGTTGGAATGGGTGGCATTGTTTAAAATCCATCTCTCCGTGCACGGCTGCTCATCATGTACGTTGGAATCGAGGCACGATCTAACAGGCACAAGGATTATGCATGTGCACTTCACAAGACTACTACTACGAGTGGTAAAGCTCAGATACATGTACAACATAACAAAACGTGAGTAGTACAGTATGGGTCTAAGGCCGCTATCACGAGAACAGTGGAAATTAAGGAACTGTTCAAAAGATCACTCTGCTCTGCACCACTTCTATTCTCTAGAAGATCAAGGAAAGCATGGGCAAATGAAGAGTTAGACACACCAGTAACATCCTGCTGTTAAGTACGCCCATTGCGCTATTCTTGCTTTGTGGACACGATTTCACAGGACTGATGTGGACAGAGGTAGCTTCCTTCAGGCACGTACGGTTCGAAAACATGTTTTGCAGGTGAATCGCTAGTTATGTCAGCCCTTCATTACTCAAACAATGCACACGGTCAACTCACTCTAAATTTTGTAACCATAGCGAGGCTGATATGGTGAGACCCGCACACACAACAAGTCACGGAGGTATTTTGAAGTAGTATTTAGGTGGATGTATGGTGCTATTCCGGGCAAACCAGAGGCAACGATGCACGTTCTGCATTGCAGCGTGACATGACCTAGGAAACTGAGATGCTAAAGTTGATAACTTTTGCGATCGTTATATCGGAAATCCACATTATTAGAACATGAGTGGGAAGGCCTCTTTTACTTCGAAGTACAGGCAAAGCGAAGCACAATCATCACCATGTATCAGTACAGTGAATAGTTAAACCCAACACGAATGAAAAATGAGAAATAGAATAAAAAATATTGTAAAAAAATTCAATATCGAACACGAATAAAATATAAACTCGGATAATGAGCCAGTAATAAAATGTAAAAAAGAGAAGAAACACATGAGAACGAGGTATGCAGCAACTATCCACGACTGTAACGAGATGATAACCGGTCAGAAAGTGCAATAATAGGGCACAAAGCTGACAGGCTACTGAGACATTCAGAATTCAGAATAAAATAGAATAAAAATATGTAAAAAAATTCAATATCGAACATAGAACTATCTACCCAACCAAATCATCACTAGCGTAGATACAAGACCTGAAGTAACAGTACACTCATGCATCAGCCGTTCATTCTCGGTTTGCTGTGTACTGTATCATGCGTGGCAAAATAATCATGGTCACGTGAGCTTCAGGGCCTCACCACAGTAATCTCTTCGTCATTGCGTGGCTTTGTTAAAAGCTGAAGTTACTATCCGTATCACAGTGACAGTCACTTGATCACTTTTCAGCTCAATTTCTAGCACTGCTACAATTGCCTTTTTTTTTTAAAGGATTGGGAGAACGTCAAATTCAAAGTATCACTATCAGTTGGGGAAGTGAACTGCGGTTCACTTCCCCGACTGATTCTGCTACAATTGTATTTTTGTTTTTACAAAGACCACTGAAATGCCGCACATGAGAATGCAGCTAGGGGAAACGCGCACAACATGAATCGTGGCAGTGGTGGTGATGTTTAAGAAGCTCCGCCAACCTGGGGTCTCGACTTCATGGCCACCTAGACGCAGATGCCACCTTCAGGTCAATGGTGGTCTTGTATGGTTAAAAAATGGAAAAAAACACGTGACCGCTTGCATTACATTTCCGTGTGTTGATATTTTGGCTCAAGAAAATCGTAAATGTCGATCAAAGTGTATAGCTAGGAGAACGTGCAGCACGTCCTTCGATGGGGCTATACTTGTTTCATAAATAAAACTCCACAAGAAAGTCCAGGTTGTTTGGGCTGTGATAGCTTCCTTTTTTTTGAGAGACACAATACCTAAGAAAATGAGTGACTGACCAAAAATATTTCGTGTAATCCTTCCAACACTCCAAAGTACGACCAAAGTTATTTGCAAATAACAACCTCCGCCAAGAGGATTCCGCTCAGGTTGTTAGAATGGTACCCTCCAAGCATCTAATTCGGGAAGTAATGAATGAAAGACTGTGGACGTGGACGTTGCCATATACGGCAAAACGGTGCAATTGCGTATTTTCCGCCTTCAGAAACTGAGGTTCCAAAGGTGAAACTTGGAACAAATCACGGTTGTTTGTTTGTTTGTTTGTTTACATACGTTATTTGAATTCGCAAATCCAAACGAGCACAAATGCTCAATGGCAAGGCAGCGAATATGTTATTATGTTACAGGGAAGGAGGGTTGGGGAGAAAATAAGGAGAAAAAAAGAGAGAATGGTAGATATCTCAATGAAGAGCGAAGCGTTATCAAACTACAAGTAAGCCAGCGAACGATAGTTCTGTAACCTGCCTAATAAACTAAGTACTTTTTCCAGGCGTGCAATGGACTGTCATTAAAACAGAAACAGAACAAATTTATAATAATAATGCACGGTTCGCTTTAGACTAGGCTGGAGGCCGAGTTTCTGCATCCACAAAACTTCGAAAGACTGTTCTGGAATATGGCTTGCAATGGAGCAGAGGATTATCGGGTATAGATGCTAGTATCCCTGCCAGGATCTTGTGGCTACAGGAATAACACCAGTGCGTAGTTATAATGATAACAGATACCAACATATTATTTGTTTTTCCCGGTGTATTCCGCACGCACCTAGCCAGCTTTTTGTTTTAAAGTCTGCCTTGCTTCCGTGTCTGCTTCATCCTGAAGATGGTCAGAGTGACCGAAACGTCGAGAAGAAAGACGTATTGTTCAGCAGTGTGAAGAAAGCAGTGCATCTGAGTGTTGGCCAGTGTTGCCACAATACACGTAGATATCAATATAGTTCTACTATCGCTGGCTATAAGCGAGGGTCCCTGGTTCGAGGCCTGGTGGTGACAGTAATTTTTTCTTCAGACTTTTCCCGTTTGTCTCTTTCCCTCAAACCAGCTAATAGTTCTACTAGTACTCTCACAACAAACAAACAAACAAACAAACAAACCAACAAACGTCGCTTCCCCATGCGTATGGTAGTACGGTTGCGTTCTCGTTCATGGTGTTCACATTGGCCGCCTTCAGACCGTTCCGTCACGTCCCGTCGAAAGTGAACTAGGTTTTACGGAAAGAATGTTGGTCTCTGTTGTTGTCCCTTTTCTGTACTGCGGTCTGCCTTAGTTTGGGCATGAAAAATCTACATATATTGCAGCAATGACCCTAGACACTTGTCTAACAGTACACTTATTCATCAAAGGCTCAATTTGTCTTTTCCTTGGTATGCATGGCAAAATGTGGTCGTCTTAACTGTGGGGCTTAGCCAAATTGATCTGGCCTGCCTTTGGATGGCTTTGCGTTTCTTTACAACTGCAAGTCACTAATCGTTGCTCTCACAGCCACAGCCATTGGATTGATTTTCATTGCAAAGTTCTCGCGCTGAAAACAATGTAGCAGTAACACCAGCTTTCCCTATCGCCAGCCTTTGTGTAACTGATTGCTGGTGGATTTTGTGTCTATGAGGAACAAAAAGACACACTAACACTTGCCCCCCCCCCATAAATTTGTGCTGAAACTCTTGCTATAGAAATT